GATGCCCAATTAGTCTTGCACTGTGTGGTGCCACGGCCTCGGAGCAACTCTACAAGCGCCGCGACTCCCCCCTGGCCCCCACACTGAGCACACACACTGAGCACACTGAGCACACACACTGAGCATACACACTGAGCACACTGAGCACACACACTGAGCACACTGAGCACACTGAGCACACACACTGAGCACACACACTGAGCACACACACTGAGCACACACACTGAGCACACTGAGCACACACACTGAGCACACACACTGAGCACACTGAGCACACACACTGAGCACACTGAGCACACACACTGAGCACACACACTGAGCACACACACTGAGCACACACACACTAAGCACACACAGAGCACACACACGCAGTGCACACACACTGAGCAACCACACGCAGCACACTGAGCACACACCCTGAGCAACCACACGCAGTGCACACACTGAGCACACACACTGAGCAACCACACGCAGTGCACACACTGAGCACACACACGCAGTGCACACACTGAGCATACACACTGAGCACACACACACTAAGCACACACAGAGCACACACACGCAGTGCACACACACTGAGCAACCACACGCAGTGCACACACTGAGCAACCACACGCAGTGCACACACTGAGCACACACACTGAGCAACCACACGCAGTGCACACACTGAGCACACACAGAGCACACACACGCAGTGCACACACTGAGCACACACTGAGCACACACACTGAGCAACCACACGCAGTGCACACACTGAGCACACACACCGAGTGTCCTGGCGGGGGATTGCCTGACACGGCGGGTTTTAATCTAAAGGGTCCCTAGGAGGAAAGTCCCACGGTTTCCCGGTGCCAGGAGATTGGCCGGCCCTCCCACGACAGGTCACATTGCTGTGCCCCTGAGTTGGCTTAAAATTGTATGGACGCAAAAAGGTTCACCGGGCCAGCCGCAATGAGTCATGCACGACATTGGGAGGGGCTGGGGTGGAATATTAAGCGAGCAGAGCAGACCATGAGGTCAGGAGGTAACGGAATGGGCGGACGTCGGGCCCCACAACTGCATCGTGAGTCGAGGATTGGTCCCCCTCAGACACGCGTCCACGTGAGGCCACGGGCACACAGCAGCTGTACAATCCACAACCAATGATCTCTCTGCAATGCTTGCTCCGCAGGAGACTGGTAAACCACGTGTTGCTAATTGTAGCATTCTACGTTTATTTAGCTTAAAAACAGGTCCCTGCAGGGTGGGCTGGTAGGACAAATCTCTGCGCTGTCTATTGCTGATTTTACACCCAACAGCACGAGATTTCACTTCGTTAAAGTATTGAAAGGGGACGGACGGACACATTAATCTATTGCAGGCTGGTACACTCAGTTTACAACTTCGTTCCTACCAGTATTAATGTCAATTTTTGATTCATTGGATACAGTACTGGTGATGAATGTGTATGTTTAGATTTGGTGGTAAACTTGATTTTGATAATGTAATGTATGCTGAACTTCTTTTGCACCGTACATAGCCAACCGTGCTAATCGGTTTGATAGCGTAATGTGTAGCTGTGGCAATTTAAGCGGTGGCTGAGAGGAATACAACCACTGCTCCATTCCGTCTTCAGGGGGGTTGTGGCGCGTGGCTTGATGCGGTGTCTCTTGCAGGTGTGAGATGTTTATTTGAAGAGTTTTAATGTCGCGCAAGTCGTTTTTGGCACCAATGTTTAAACGCGAAATGGCCCCATCTGAGTTCTTCCCCGGCAGCAGAAGGCCCGCATGGCTCAACAAAGTGGCCGATCGTGCAGGAGGCCCGCATGGGCCTCAGTGGGTTGCAAGAAGCAAATTGGCTCCGCACCTCTGATTAGCAGGGTTGGCACTAAATCCTCTTTGCCCCAACAATGCCGTTAACAATGTTAACCAGTGGTAAGGGATGTCGATATGTATATTCGTTTTCAGTTGCGAGGTCACACCCACATCCTAAAGGGGTTTGTTAACGGTATTCCACGCCTGTTGTAAGGAAAGGAGCGGTCATTTCATGCCATTCCACTTTTATTTTGTACATTAACAAATCACCTGATAATTGGCTTTTCATATTAGTACGAGGGGTTTGCAGATATGAACTGTCATTCCGTTTTCTGTTATCTATTACCAAACCATTGTCCATTAGTCTTAAGGGCTTTGCACTTATCATTACAGTACTTTGTCTTTGGGCATTCCATTGTCTGTCATTCCTTGTAGTCATCATCAACACCACTTCCACCATCTTCAATACCATAATTCACCACAACCACCATCAATAAACGGCACCATAAATACCATCATCCTCAACATCACCATATAAAGAATGACAATAGACGTGGAAGATGGAAATCTAGTATTAACAAGTTTGTACATCAGCGTTTTAGTTAAACCCTATTCCAAGCGACATCATACAAAAAGGATATGATATTGACAACGCCATTCAGAATTATTCTGAAAGCCAGTCGGATTCAGTACATTTAGAATTCTATTTTTCAGACTGGTATTTTATTATCAAACACAGGCGATGAGCATAGGCCTAGAGGCCCAAAACGTCAAGCAGCCAGAAAAAAAGCACTTTCAAAGTTGTATTGGGTAAGAGTGTGCTTGTTTCTTGCATTGAGCAAGGTCATTATATACGAACTTGCGAAGATATGTTGGGAGTGCCAAGCTGGAGCAGTGCAAGGGAAGATGTAGAAAGAGAAGTGAGGTGTCCTGCAGTGTGGTGATCGAACACAGCATGGTACACCGACTCCTCAACACGGGCGAAGGAATCAATAAGTGAAATTCACGGAAACGGTAACCATGTTATCAGCAACGACAAAGCTATAAGGAGGCTGATCATCACCGTGAGCGAATTAAGTGAATAAGTGCTCGATCATCGATCACCCCAATTGTTATATACTGAATTATATTAAGTGTCTACTTAGAACTTATTTTGCACTATACGTAGCCAACTGCTAATCTGTTGGCTATGTACTGGGTGCTCCAGGAAATGGGTGCTCCACTCCAGGAAGCTGTACCTATGCTGCATAAAGTAACTCGGCACCAGCCTCCAAACGGGGAATAATCTTCCAGTAGGGGGTGATGATCGATTGCCCATTTGTCATCCCAATTGAGTAATTTGCGTTGTCATTTAAAACATGTGAAATTTGGGTTGTAACGTAGGCACACAATGGCCTAATAATTTAAAATGAGATCAAGGGATCTTTAATGTCCACCGTTAAGCAGAGCGGATGTTATATGGTTAATACACCTGGAGTAATAACCAGTGCAGCCTGCCGCATGCGAACCACAAACCTCTGCAACAATTGGCGAACGCGCCATCACTGGGCCATATTACCACCATAGACATGCATGGCATTAGCAAGTGGCCGTATAGGGAGACGCATTTATACAGCATATAATTATACGGCTTAAAAGTAACTTAGCATCATTTGCAGTTATCTTAACAGATGTTAAAAAATATCAATGTAAAGGTTAAGTTTTAATAAAATACTTTGCAACTAAAAATATTACCATTTACATCAGTTCATTTACCACATTTGGGTAATGTGTTGTATAATGTAACAATGCCTCCCAAAGTAAAGGTGCGTCTAGGTTTTTGATGTCTGCTCTGCTTCAGATGTTTCACCAATTCATACTAGGGTTGTTAAAAGCTAACCGGTAACCGTTTTCAAAAATCGGTTCCGAAAGTCACAAACTGTTGACAGTGGAATGTCAGTAATGAAAGCACCGATTGGCATGGGCGAATGTACAAACTGCATCGTGGCCTCAGTCACCGTACGTTGTCCACTTTCCCTCGTTTCTCAGTTAAAAGATGAAAGTGCAGCCCTGGCGGAAGGACCTCCAATAGAGGGGAGCTTTCGGGGGTATTTGGTATACTCCAAGATTTAATTTATTTCAGCAGGAAGGGCCCGATGAGCTGTTAGGCTCTATTTCATGGGTGTCCTATGATCGCCCAGATGTTATACTGTACAGGTCTTAGTGACACAAGCATGGTTACATAGGTCGCGATACAAAACAGCAAGTACTGGTACATGCTTCAGACGTCTTGGAAGAAGTGGGCATACCCCCACACTTCACGTGACCTGCAGATCGACTAACCGCGGTGTAACCTTTTGCACTGAACCTAACTACGGCACCAGGAAATGGAATTGAACTGGCGAAGTCTAGATGGAAATTCCATTGTGCTAACCATTTCACCACTGGCAGCTCCATTCATTTCTTAGTTTAAAAGGTAAACGTGTTTTATGTTCATTGCCAGAGAGATTTGTATAAGTGCAGAAAACCAGTAACCGATATTTTACCATCCTTTTTCACGTGACTACTGGTAATGCCAAAAAAACGGTTTTAACAACACTAGTTCATCACACCTGGCGAATATTTTTGGTGTAACTTAACACAGACTTTCCAGAATGTTTAGCATCTCACTGTGTGCTCCCATCGCTGCAGATGGGCATCTTACATTTAGCTGTGTCAGCTCCACTAACCCCAATTACAGGCCCGTGGTAAGTGTGAACTTGCCAACTTATTTCACATTCATAAAAAAAATTTGGGTCACTCCTGGGAAAAAAATCCACAAGACTTTGAATGTATTCCACTGGACATTTAGGCGTGGGCCACACTGCCCCTTTGTGTGACGTGTAGTCCTTTATAGGTGTTTGCACATACGCCAACCGTCTGTTAACGCCAACAGTCTGTAAAGGCTATTGGGGGGGGGGGGGGGGGCCTTTGTTTCACACACTGCTGTGAATTACTGTTATACATAGTGGCAGTGACGTCAACACAGAACTTGTGTCAGGCTAAGTGCACTTTGAGGCCACGTGAAGTGTCAAAAGCTTGCCGCTGGCAGGTCACGGGACAGACCCAGGTGCTCTAGGTCGGCTGAGAGAATGGGCATACAAAGCTCCCCCATAAATCCACAATATACTTTTGGGACAAGTGCTGTTTGCAAGCACCTCTGAAAGCTGGCACAGCACACGATGGGGTGGGTGGCCAGCACCACGCCCAGCCGCCTTTGTCACTACACCAAATACTTATTTGAGGCCGAGTCGACCTAGAGCAGGTCCAGGACCGGTTCAGATAATCGTCACTGGTGTTGGCCATGATCTGGAATCTAACTTGGGTCGTCAGCTCGTAGCACAGCGCCTTAATCACTGCCACCGATCCACAAACACGTTAACACAGACATTAACACATGCAAACTGTCAGATTACTGCGCTGGCTGCTGTTGCTGCTGCTGTTGCGGCTGCTGTTGCTGCTGCTGTTGCTGCTGTTGCTGCTGCTGTTGCTGCTGCTGTTGTTGCTGCTGTTGTTGCTGCTGCTGTTGTGCATCCTGCTGCTGCTGCATCCGACGTGCATGGGCAGCCGAGCGCAGGTGCCGCGTGAGGCTGTAGGGTTTGGCAAAGCGGCGGCCGCAGGCGGCGCACGCGTACGGCCGCTCCCCTGTGTGCAGCCGTGTGTGCGCCGCCAGATGGGGCTTCTGCCGGAAGCGGCGGCCGCAGGCGGCGCACGCGTACGGCCGCTCGCCCGTGTGCACGCGCCGGTGCCGCGCCGCATTGGCGCCGCGCGCAAACCGCCTCCCGCAGTCCCCGCACGCGTACGGGCGCTCGCCCGTGTGCAGCCGTGCGTGGGCCGCCAGGTGCTGCCGCTGCTTGAAGCGCGCGCCGCACTGCGGGCAGCCGTGGGGCCTCGGCGCGTCGTGCGTGCGCCGGTGACGCGCGAGTCGCGGGGCCTGAGCGAAGCGCTTCCCGCAGCGCTCGCACGCCAGCGGCAGCTGCAGGGGGTCGTCGCCGGCGCCGACGGCCACCGTCGCGTCCTCGCCGACGCCGCCGTCAGAGATGCCCTCCATGGCCTGCGACGCCGCCAGCCCGGCGCAGTCGATGGTCTCGCGCACGACACTCTCCAGAACGTCTTCTCCCATCGCGGCGCTGCCAGTCGTGCCGACAATGGCGTCATTGGCACCGTCCTCCTCCTTGGTGGTGGCCACCCTCTTGCGTTTGCTTCCGTGGGGGCGGCGTGCGGTTTTACTCTCAGAACCGGTGCTCTGCTGCTGTTGCTCGTCCTGTTGCTGTAGCTGTGGCTGCAGCTGTGGCTGCTTCTGTGGCTGTTGCTGCGGCTGCTGGTGGTGGTTGTGGTGGTGGTGGTGTTGCTGTATTAAGTAGGACGAGAATACCAACTCCTTCCAGCAACCCTCACACTTGAACGCCTGGTCAATTCTCTGTAGCTGCTGCTGCGGTTGTTGCTGTAGTTGCGGTTGTGGTTGCTGCGTTGCCATAACACTCCCGCACTCAAGCTGTGGCACAACTTGCATCTGACAAAAACACAAATTTACCATTTATTTAAGTGTGGCCTTTTTGTCCATGCACTGACCACTGATGCAGTTCTCAACATAGTCAGCCAGGTGGCTCAGCAATAGAGCAAGCGGTATTGTTGCAAGTTCAAATCCTGGTTGGGAGTTGACTCAACCAATCATACTTCCCTGGTCAATAAAATAAGTACCACTTCATAGGGAAGTCAACAGTCGCTGGCCTATGGATAGATTCATCCCTGCCATAGGAATGTGGAATTCACACCACTGGCTCAGGGCTGTAAACAGAAGATGAGCACTGCCTCTATTGCTGCTGCGAAACTCAATTAACCTGGCTATGATATTTATTGAAATATTTCACTTGGAAAACTCTCGAGATGGAAGGTTTCATTTGCAAGGGTGTTCAGGATGTCAACTCGCACATAGCAGACACATAACTCATATACAAACATACATATGCACTCAACACAAACACACATTCACTCGCACACATACCCAATTATACACAGCAAATTAATTACTACAAAAGCACAAGTAAAATACGAGACAAAGATACATACATGCAACAGTGACCATTCGCAAACCAGTGGTGTCGACGTCAAATCGCTTGTGCCAGGCAAGATGCACTTTTGAGGCAACGGAGTATGCAATGCTTGCAGGCAGGTCATGGGACAGGCCCAGGTGTTTATGGATTGACTGACAGATGCATCACCTGTACTCTCAACTGTACCAACTTACTGCATTTTAGGCACCCCCCCTCATTGTGAGCATCGCTCCTCCACCCTCTGTTATTGATGGAGGGCGATGGATTCAAACTGCCCAAAAGCATCTTTCATGAACCTTCACCACAGAGGCCAATCTTGACACCGCTGATACCAGTCATCAGCGAGTCCACTCAGCTCGATAGTCATACATCTGCCCATATTTTCTGTAGCCCATACAGCACCGATTTAGACCCCTCGAACCCAGCGTGGATCGTAGGCAGGTCAGCTTGAATGTCGGCGCAGATGACAATTTAAAGATCTGCACATTTTTTTAAAGCAAAGGCATAACTATACAAAAACATCCAGAGCTTCCTATTGAGCGATAGGCCAGGCAGCTTCCTCACAGCACTACGCAGACGACGCAAAAAATACTGCTTGACTGATTCAAAGTGAAACCTCTGCTGCTAAATAGGAACTGGTCATGGGCACACTGCGCAGGTATGGGAACGCCTCCACACTCTCCACAACTGCCCCATCACTTATGGGGAGTTGAGCGGTTGCAGGATTCAATGATATAAAATACCCAAGCAGGTGCTTTGTTTTGCTGGATCCAATGATATGGCATCACTTGTTAGTGACACGCTACAGGTTCAGCAGTGGTCTTCAATTCCTTCTCAAAGTGGGCAGCAATTACCAGATCAGTAGCATATGGATGACCAATGTATTAATAAGCACCCATGATATCTGTACCAGATGGTAATTTCATGGTTCAGCCATGGAAAGATTCTTGAACGTGGTAAAAAGAGACGTATGTATGTTGAACTTATTTCATGCCGTATGTAGCCATCTGCGCTAAGCGGAGGTGCAAGAGGGAATAAAGGGGAATTCCCTGCTGCAGGAAAAGGCTCCAACTCCTTCATAAGCAGAACTGTAGGCCCTGTAACATTTTCCTACACCTCTATACAGCAGACGCACAGGGAATATGGCATCTGTGCAGGTCCATCCCGGCCTGAAACCACGTTGGGCTCTGCAAGACTCCTCAGAGTGCCTGGAAAGGCGATGTTAAATAATCTTTCCCAGAACTATTCCTGGCATATTGAGGGAGATGCTCCTGAAGTTTTTTTACAATCATTGCGGTCCCACTTACAACTAAAGCATTCTTCCAATCCTGCGGAAACTATTATTCCAATCCTGCGGAAACCATTCTGTAGTCCAAGCAGTTGTAATGATGTATAGGGCAGCCTGTACACAATCACCACCACCACCCCCAGCGGTTTACTTGGGAGGTTATCTCTGCCCAGTGTTATACCTCGTCTCAATCTTGGGATCACTCTTTGCAAATCCTCAGTAAATGGCTCTGCAGCCCACGCAGAGTTGACTGACACCTTGCCCTATTGATGTTATCTGAGCTGAGGGGTTGCCTTTCCCCCCCAAGACCTCAGAAATTTTCAACAAATCTGCAAACCTGCTCCTGAGGGTCCGAGATCATATCGCCACTCTTTCCCTGGTAAAAGGTGTGGCTGAGGAAGTGTTTTTATCCTCAGCAACCCACGACCACTACTCATGCTTACAGTGCTGCACTGCACTCTGAATCTCCGAGCGCATGCTGCGGTAAGCCACCTCATTCGCGGGCGTTGGTTGTAGACGGAGTGAGCCTGCCGCTTCTCCGAATGGTGTAAAACTTCCATCAGCCAGGCTTTCTGGCCGGACAGAGGATGAGCAGCCTTCTACCGTTATTGACCAGATCTGGCCCATGACTTCGAATCACTGAGGCCCAAATGCCTGCATCATGACCCACTCGGTGTTAAAAGTCAACCAACAAGATGACTATTTCGAGGAGCCACTTTAGCCGGAACCTAGGAAGGAGGTCATGAAAGGCACCTGATGCTTCTCATCCTTGTTCCCATTCATTCTGATTCAATGTTGCCCAGTACAAGCCCACAACACGCTCATATCACCACATTCATTTAACTCGCACATTCAGGAGGTCAAGAGAGAAGGGCAAAAAGCATCTTGCCTAGCAGGCCGAGTTTTTGATGTGTTATGGAAACTATTTTGTAAGAGAGATCAGTCTTGAGTGTAAAGAAAAGGGTATATTATGTGAGTGCTATCTGTATGGATCAAGAGAGCTGGACCCCAAATAATCAGCTCAATGGCATTTCATTACAGGTGTCCCGAGGCAGATGCTGGGAATTTCGTAGCAAGACTTGATGAGCAATGTAGGTGTCCAGAAGAAAACTGGTCACTAAGTATTACAGAAATTCTGAGCAAAAACGGCTGTGCTGGGTGGGAGAGGGCCAATTGTTGAGGCAGGCATTGGAGAGGTCTCCACGAGTCTGACGGCCAAGGGGAAGATCTCTGCGAGGATGGGATACTGTTAAGAGCAGATAAATGCGTATCTGTGAGTCTATAGGTTCCAATATGATTCTGCAGGTCACTATATGAGCTTAAGGTTGTGGGATACCGTGAGGGCAGATCTTGGGTGGCCAGGCATCAGCTATACAGCAGGTGTAGGATCAGGCAGAGAGTAGGGAGAGTTGGTAGTGACATGCAGTGGCATCAGCGGCTTTGGCCACGATAACGTCTTTATCTTGATCTCTTGAACACATTCAAAACGTACACCACAAATGCCATGCGCTTTACTCAGCTCCACCAAGTGTGGCCATCTTTACCTGCTGTGTTGGCTGTGGTGCCTGCTGCTGCTGCTGCAACTGCACAGGTGGCGGCTGCTGTTGCTGCTGTTGCTGCTGCTGTATATGCGGCAGTGTAGTCCACTGCAGCTGCAGCGTGGTGACCTTCCCAGCGACGGCACGCTGACCAGACACCGTGTGTGGAGAAATCACAGCCACCGGCTGCTCTGCCGATAGTTGCTGCTGCTGTGGTTGCTGTGGTTGCTGTGGTGGTTGCTGGTGCTGCTGTTGCTGCTGTTGCTGCTGCTGCATGTTCACCTGCTGCTGCTGGGGCAGTGGTAGGTGGAAGTGTCCTGGGAAGAGCTGGGGGAGGGACCGCTCTGGGATCTCCAAACCCCACACGCCTGGGGAAACACACAGACGAATGAAAAGCTTTAGTCAATAGACATGACATTTGATTAATATGGAGAAATCATGAGCTTTACATAAACTCAAGCAAAATAACACTGTGGTGGCAAAATCCACAGTGATAGTTAAACATCATATCACAGTTACATTTCACTTGCAAATGTGGTTGTCAACGATATTACGTTATAGTCACGGTGATTGTGAATCCAGGACTCACTGATTCATTCCAGGTGATACTTGTAGTCAGTGGCGTCTATATCCCTCTTCTAATTTTATTCTAGTTCATCTAATTGACTTCACAAGGAGCTTCTTGGAATCTTAAGGTTTGACATCACTTAAATGTGTCTCCCACCATGGTTCGTGTTCCTGTTAACTTAACTCGTTGATTTCTCCCATGTTGAGGAATGTCTACCAAGAATGACTTTCGTCTCATTTGTGTTGTATCTAACCGTTATATTGTACTGCAGGTCACAACAACCCACTCACCCATCCACCCACTTTGGAATTCCCTCCCATTTCAATTTTCGCAAGCTCTTAACCGTAATAAATGTAAAAAATGCGTTAATTATTATCTATGATAGTGCTGTTTGTTGTTGACCACTTGACACTTTGGGTCTATGGGTCTGCGCTCCGCAAATGTGTTTAAATAAGAAACTAAAACAGCTCAGTGAAGGTCCTAAAAGTAGCTGGTGAATCATTCTGTTCTATAAGAGAGGGCCATGCAATCGGTAAACCGGTAACTGTTTTCAGAATTGATTACCGATTACAAAAGTTAGGAATTGGTCACTGATTTCTGTGGAATGTCAGAAATGAACGCGCCTACAAACGGCACGGCGGGCTAAGACACTGCGTGGTGGTAACTTTCGCTCTCGTTTCTAAGCTGAAAGGTAAAGTTGCAGCCCTGCAAGAGCTTAGTTTCTCACTCCACTGCTGGCGACAGGGCCTCCCACTCGAGAGCTCTCGGGGTATTTGGCCTACTCTTCCAAGCTACCCAGCGCGTTCCATAATGACATTTCACAGGAATCGGCGAACGGTTCCTAAACTCTGAAAACCGTTTACCGATTTTGAAAACGGTTACCGGTTGTCGTTTCATCACCACGAATATAAACACGAGAGATACAATGTCAAATTGAGGCGTTCAAAGCAAGAGCAGGGCGATGTGGAAAGACGGCGGCGAGAGATGGGAGCGAGTGAAAGGGGAAACCAATTGTAGCAAGAGAGGCGATGTGAGAGAGAGAGAGAGAGGTAACAGGGAGGGGGGGGGGAGATGAGGGAGAGAGGCAATAGCCGGGGAGAGAAGAGGAAGTGAGAGACGGAGATGGGGAGGGACGGGAGAGAGAGGGACGCAAGGGGAAGGGAGGGCGAGAGAAGTGAGATGGGCCTGGGGGAGAGGGAGACGGTGGGGGGGGGAGGAGGAGAGACGCGGAGAGTGGAAGGCGATAGGTGGGAGGGAGGAGAGAGTGAGAGAGACATCAGGGAGAGGAGAGAGAGAGAGCGGGGAGAGGAGGCGTGGTACCTGCTCCCAACCCCGGGTTGTCCGGACAGAAGCTCATCGCGGCCGCGGTCTCGAGCGGGGGTGTCAGGCGCGGGGGTCAGGACCAGGCCCTGACAGCGGCGAGACTGGAGGAGCGACACTCGCGAGGATGTGGGCGCTGCGAGTCTGTGCGAGTGAGATTTGTGAGTTCTGTTGGACCACAGCTCTCTCTGAGCGCCGTGCGAGGCGGCTGAGAGCTGCGAAGCCCTCCCGTGTGAGGAGGAGGGAGGGGGTGCTAGTCGCGGCCTACTCCTCAGGCCTCGGCGCCTCCAGGCCGCAAGGCCGCTGCTGCTTTGCTCTGTTATTCACGCAGCTGCGGCTGCTTCGTGCACGACTCCTGCAACTGCAGTTGGGTCGGCTGCTGCTGCTACAGCTGCTGCTGCTACTGCGGCGGCTGGGTTCATTGGGTGCGCGAGAACCCCGCTTGCCGCGACCTCGCGTTACTGGGAAGTTGAGCAGCAGCGGCCCCCGCCACCCGCTCGCCCCCTCCACAGCCCCGCCCCTCGCTCACACCCTCCACGGCCCCGCCCCTCGCTCGACCCCGCCCCCTAGCTCGACCCCTCCACGGCCCCGCCCCTCGCTCACCTCTCCACGGCCCCGCCCCTCCCTTCCCGCCTCCATGGCAAAGCAACACGGACCCCGCCCCCCACTCCCCCCTTCGCTGCCCCGCCCCCCTCTGCACAGGCCCCGCCCCCCTCTGCACAGGCCCCGCCCCGGCCTTTCGGCCCCGGCTCCCGGCGTGCTTGTTGGCCTCCTCCCCCACCACCTCCACGTGTCCTGTGCCGGCCTTCAAAGGTGCGACTCGCTCACAGCACTTGCCCTGCACTGCGGTTTCTTTGCGTGCGTCGGGAGCGGTGACGCGGCGGTTAGCGCTACTCTGCGTAACGAACCTGGTGACCCGAGTTCGATTTCCGCTCACGGCCAAAACCGGTGACAATCCATCTGAATTGGTCCTGGGCCCCCCTCCCCGAAATCGACTCTAGGGGCCCCTACCCTCGCCATTCCGTGTCCTGGCGCGGCATTTCAAAGAATGGGGCACGATTACTTAAATTCCCACTCACCACCACCGCCTGTCCACCCGCCAGAGTCTAATGATTAAGTAAAGAAAGCTCCACCTCTTCTAAAAAGTCTGGTCAGTGTGGACAAGCAGGACCAAAATACGACCTCGACAGTGCCCTCTTTACTTAGTAGAGGTTCTTCTCCAAGCAGTGGCGTGAGAGAGCAATTGCAGGGCTGCACCTTTAGTAGCGATTAACTGTTCCAGTGGCAGAAGAGTCCCGCACACGTGATGAGAGTTGATGTAGATCGCCTTTATTCACAGTATGGTCAATCAGCAGGGAGATCTTCAATGCATTCTCACCTGTCCTGTCCGTCCCTACTACTGGGCATCTCTGAACAAGAGCTGGATATCTCATCGTATTCCTCCAGCATCGATAAAGATTCTGATACACCCCTCCCTCGAGAATCAGTCACCACACCTACATCCTCTTTGAATCCCTTAGGCCAATGCGCGCTGGTCGAACTGACAATCGATCATTCGTGGCTGTTCCGCCCGACTGACCAAGATCTTTGATTTAAAGCTTTCGTGACTGCAAGGATTCATCTTCTTTGGTTCTTTCAGTAAAGTCACGTAGAATGAGAATAAAATAATAAGTTAATAAAATAAAATAACACGATAAAATTCTCACGACGTTTTGGCCACAACACAAGTGGCCTTCATCAGGTGAAGGGACGAGACTGTCTGGAGGACAGCGCTGGAGCGAACACAGCCAAGCTCAGACCGCGACCTTTAAGCTGTGTGAGAAGAAACAGAGCGCCTTGACAAATGAATTAGCATAAAAATTAGCATTTAATTGGCGGACTTAGCATGGATGTGTAGGCTTTGACTTTAACATAGCCATTTCTGTGACCAGTCACAAGCTAATCACGCAGCTATTTCAATGCTAAATTATCCGAACCAAACATTAAACTAATTTTCAATGGTACAGTATATTTTTTTTCAAGTAGTGGTATCCCAAACTTTCGCAGCAGTTTAAATTCCCTTTTAACACCATAAATATGTAAACTCCCCCTCCCCCCCTCGCCGGTCTGCACATGTTCACCCCCTCTACACCGTTCATCATGCTAAGTCCGCCAATTAAATGCTAATTTTTATGCTAATTCCTTTGTCAAGGCGCTCTGTTTCTTCTCACACAGCTTAAAAGTCGCGGTCTGAGCTTGGCTGTGTTCGCTCCAGCGCTGTCCTCCAGACAGTCTCGTCCCTTTACCTGATGAAGGCCACTTGTGTTGTGGCTGAAACGTCGTGAGAATTTTATTGTGTTATTTTATTAATTTATTATTTTATTCTCATTCTACGTCACTTTACCGAAAGAACCAAAGAAGATGACCAAGATCTCTGAATAAAGCCGAGTTTCAGCACCTCCTATTAGCACGTTTAGCTACGTATGGTGCGAAAGAAGTTCAACATTCGTCCCGGGATAGCGATTTGCCTGTGGATAATGACCAAATTATATATTAATAATGGATCGTCTTGGAGGTAATTAACACAAGTAAAAGTGCAATTTTTTTATTTAAAGCTTTCGTGACTGCAGGGATTCATATTCTTGGTTCTTTCGGTAAAGTCACGTAGAAGGGAAACGATAAAAATATAAAACAATAAAATAAAACAATTGAATTTAATTGTTTTATATTTTTTTATTTTATTGTTTCCCTTCTACGTGACTTTACCGAAAGAACCAATAATATAAAAGTGCAATGTCCAGCTATTATTATCCACTATCTCAAATGCATCTATGAATGTGCGATGAAGAAGGGCCATTGACCGAAACGTCGCTCATACAGTGTTGTTGACACGCGTGTTGGATGACTACAAGTGCACGTGGCTTGTGAGCAGCAATGCAGCCATACGGATTGTAACGCTGTCCAATGCATTTAGATTATTTTGTTGCTATACATTTATACATGACAAGCCACTCCGTGGTCTTTATCTGGTATAATAAAACAAACTATTTTAGTTTTACTTGTATATATTTTGAAAGTGATTTGTTTACATTTCCTACACTTTCCACTCATATAGTGTTGTTGTTTGTTGTTGTAACCTTCTGGACCCGTGCCCCTACTGGACATCTGTGAAAAAGAGATTTGAGAGCTCATCGGATTCCTCCTGCACTATAAATAATTATTCCGACTCGTGGCGGGCTTGTATCGAGTTGAGCGGCAGGCATTTCGATAACTTAATAGCAAACGGTGTCGCATCAAAGCACTTGACCCCCACGATATCGCGATAATCGTTGGGTTTGTTGACGAGATCGCGACTCGATTGGTCGCGCCTTGCTCCGGAGCGGCGGTGACGACGATCGGAAGTCGACTGCTCAGCCTGGGCACGCGCACGGGGTGCCCGGCGTCACTTCCACGTGCGACCTTGGCTGGGCGGGCGGAGACGCGAGAACAGAGAGATGGGCATTTAGAGGATAGAGAGATCACAGAGAACAGAGAGATCACATATAGAGAATAGAGAGATCACAGATAGAGAATATAGAGATCACAGAGAACAGAGAGATCACATATAGAGAATAGAGAGATCACAGATAGAGAATAGAGAGATGACAGAGAGATGGCATTTTGAGAATAGAGAGATCACATATAGAGAATAGAGAGATCACAGATAGAGAATAGAGAGATCACATATAGAGAATAGAGATGACAGAGAACAGAGATCACAGAGAATAGAGATATGACATAGAGAACAGAGAGATGACATTTAGAGAATAGAGAGATCACAGAGAACAGAGAGATCACAGATAGAGAATAGAGAGATGACAGAGAACAGAGAGATCACAGATAGAGGACAGACAGATCACCGATAGAGAACAGAGAGATCACAGATAGAGAACAGAGAGATCACAGATAGAGAATAGAGAGATGACATAGAGAACAGAGAGATCACAGATAGAGAATAGAGATATCACAGAGAACAGAGAGATCACAGATAGAGAATAGAGAGATCACAGAGAACAGAGAGATCATAGATAGAGAACAGACAGATCACCGATAGAGAACAGAGAGATCACAGATAGAGAACAGAGAGATCACAGATAGAGAACAGAGAGATCACAGAGAACAGAGAGATCACAGATAGAGAATAGAGAGATCACAGAGAACAGAGATCACAGATAGAGAATAGCGAGATCACAGATTGAGACTAGAGACCAAAGGGAGAGGGGGACTACACACGTAGATTATTACACAGCGCAAGTTCTACAAACTGCATACAGTATATACAGCGACTCCAAACAGACTGCACATTACTGTCCTAGTTCTACAGTTACAGGTACTGTACTATACACAGCAAACATACACAACACATACAGCAAACATACACACAGCACATATACACAGCACATACACACAACAAACATACACAGCATACAGAGCACAACACAGCAAACACAGCACATACATACAGCAAACATACAGCACATACACACAGGAAACATACACACAGCACATACACACAGCACATACACACAGCAAACATACACAGCAAACACACAGCACATACACAGCAAACAGCAAACACACACAGAGCACATACACACAGCAAACATACACACAGCACATACACACAGCACATACAGCACATACACACAACACATACACACAACAAACACAGCAAACATACACACAGCATACACAGCACAACACAGCAAACACAGCACATACATACAGCACATACAGCAAACATACACACAGCACATACACACAGGAAACATACACACAGCACATACACACAGACTATACACACAGCACATACACACAGCACATACAGCAAACACACAGCAAACATACACACAGCACATACACACAGCAAACATACACACAGCACATACAGCAAACATACACACAGACTATACACAGCACAAACACACACAGACTATACACAGCAAACATACATACACTACAGGGCACATACACACAGCACATACACACAGACTACACAGCACATACTATACACAGCACAGACTATACACAGACGATACACAACACATACACAGACTATACACAGCACATACACACAGACTATACACAGACGATACACAGCACATACACAGACTATACACAGCACATACACAGACTATACACAGCACATACACACAGACACAGCACACTTCACAAAGGGGGCCATAAAGATGATCCAAATAACTACCGACCTATCTCAATTTTGTCCCCGTTGATGAAAATTTTTGAAAAATTATTGACCTACCAAATTAGCAGTTTCCTGTCCATCAACAATCTACTACATCTAAAACAATCTGGGTTCCGAAAAAAATACAGCACCACATCTGCTGCATTAGACTCTCAATCACATGTACAGTAGCCTTGATAATAAGCAGTACTGTGCCTGTCTTTTTCTAGACCTGTCCAAAGCTTTTGATACAGTAGACCACAATACCCTGCTTAGTAAACTAAGTTTCCTGCGTTTTTCCGAAAACGCAGTAAAATGGTTACAAAATTACCTCTTTTCTCGCACCCAAACTGTATTCACAGAAGGTTGGAGGTCAAACAGTGTTAAGATAACAAAAGGGGTTCCACAGCGTTCCATCCTCGGCCCCCTTTTGTTCTCTCTTTATGTCAATGACTTGGGCACTGACCTGGATCATTCCAGGGTAAATATTTTTGCAGATGACACGATACTGATTACTGCTGACCGCTCTCCGGATGACGTGATTGCTAAGCTACAGGGTGATTTCAACAAACTACAATATCAGATAGTTGCTCTTAAACTAGTCCTGAATACCTCCAAAACCAAGGTGCTATGCTTCTCACCGGGACTAAAGCGGGAAGTTATTTTTCCCCAATGACATTCCTTAAATAATTATCAAATAGAGCAAGTCAAGATCTATAAGTATCTTGGGGTCATCCTGGATTCAAAACTAAATTTTGAAGATCACATTGATTATATTGGTAAAAAGACAAAAATAAAAATTGATTTTCTGTATTGACACAAGCACTGCTTCCCCCCAATGTTCCGTTTGGAATTGATAAAAGCTACCATACTGCCTCTACTTGACTACTGTGACATCGTGTATAAATCAGCCCCAAGTACTGTACTGAAGAAGCTTATTCCATCTATCACTCGGCTTTAAGATTTACATTGAACTGCCCATATAGCACTCACCACTGTGATCTCTACATTGGGTCAAACTTAACATCTCTTAATGTTCGACGGCTTGTGCACCAGATCTTATTTATTCACGATGTACTTACAAAAAAATCCGCAGACTACCTGCTGGATCTCCTCTCTGTTTCAAAGAACAAGTTTGACCTCAGGTCTTCGCTCATTTACCAGCTTCACATTGCCTATTGCCGTACAAAAATTGAAGGGCCTTTGCTATTGATGCCCCCAGGGTCTGGAATGCTATTGACAATAAACTGCAACTTGAATCGCTACCAATGAGATCTTCTCTCAAAACTGCTCTAGAGGAGTTGTACACCCCCTGCCACTGCTATTCATTGGCGTAAAATAAAATAAAATGTTTTCGCTCCAGATGACGCTGCAAAGTATTATCTGTATTTTGATTTAGAGTGCTGATCTTAAAGGTGCATTGAAAAATTTGATACTCCGACTGATGCTTCTGTTGTGGAGTAACTCATGCAGCCAGCTATGGCTCTAGGATTTGGTGTTACATGTTATTTATGTAGTTTATTGTAAAAATTCGGTCACAGTCCCTGTGATAACTGTTACGTTGCAATTATGGCTTTGTTTTGTTGGTGATTTCGAAAAGGTTTTTTGGTTTGGACATGTTTGTTTTGTTGTAGTATGGATTTAGACTGATGGCCTTAATATAAGTTTTCTTGTGGTTGTTGTTGTTTGACTTGCATCCCACTGGGATTTTTTGCACACAGCGTTGGTGTACGGTCCTTTTTTCAGGAATATTTTGCTGTTTTTTTCATGGATTTTCTGTTTGCACAGTCACACATAGTCACTTTAAGATGTTTTTCTTCGTGTTTTGTTGTTTGTTGTGGTTGCACCCGATTCAAGAGCCGAATGGCTCACAGGGCTATACCAAAATAAATTAAACTGAAACTGAAACATACACACAGATGATACACGGCACATACACACAGCACATACACAGCACATACACACAGACGATACACGGCACATACACACAGCACATACACACAGCACACACACACACGCAAAGACTGCACGTGACAGGTGACTATAGAGATGCTGACTGGTGGTGATGACTGAGAGATGATGATGATGGTGGTGATGATAATGATGATGGTTCACAAGGAAGCCTGCCTGCTGATGAGACACTGAATGTCAAAACCGGTCAACAGTGTTGCTTGTGTTAAACCAATGCTGCCGAAATGATGCCATCCAAAAAGGCCGTGTGGCTGATGGGATGTGTAGACAATCGTTTTTGTTTGTCTGTGGAGGGACAGATAGGGGAAGGAGGCGAACTGTCTGCTTGTTCGTGTATGTGTTTAGTCACTAGCCTTCGGTGCTCTGTGTGAAAGTGCGCTGGGTGTGTGTGTGTGTGATCTGGCCATTGCTCAGGCATGCAGGCGCCAGTGACAGGAGTCTAACCGCGAACCACTGGCCCCATGGGAGGACATCACCGCTGTGTCTGGGGGACAGTTCGGGTGGTGGCACGCAGAGCAAGCCAGTTCAACAAGTGAGCCGTGTTTGGAGACTGGCGCGTGTGTTAGTGATTGTGACTGTGTTTCACGATGTCAGGGACTGCGAGGGACTGAGTGATGTGTGTGTCTGTGTGGGTGACTTTCAGTGTGACTGTGTGAGAGACTTCAGTGTGTAAATAAGTGAGTGGCTGTGTGTGTTCGTGATAGGGTGAGTGACTGAATGTGTGAGAGACTGTGTGAGTGAATGTAAGTGACTGTGTGAATGAGTGTGAGTGACTGAGTGCTTGGCTGTGTGTGTTTGGGACTTGGACAGTAACCGAGTGTGTGAGGTAGTGATTGTGTGACTGGGTGTAGGAGTGACTGAGACTGCCAGTGCCTGAGTATGTTCGTGACTGTGTGACTCTGACTGAGTGAGTGACTGAATAACAGTTTCTGAGCACAGATCCAAAGGCCAAAAATGTCAAGTGGCGAGCAACAAACAGCACAAACATAGTTTAGTTAACGCATTTCTTAAATTGAGCGAGGCTATTTTAAGAGCTTGGAAAAAGAGACGATGGGAGGGAATTCCAAAGTGAGGCAGTGCGAGGGAAGAAGCAGAAAGATAAGTGTTTTGACATGTAGTGTGGTGAGTGGGTGAGTGAGTGGGCAAGTAAGCGAGTGGGTGGGTGAGTGAATCAGTTATTCGACCGCTCACACATTCAGGCTGGCCTGCCTACAATCTTTCCTGGGTTTAACCAGACTGGATTGTGCGAGGAGCTCACATAACCTTGAAAGATCTGGACACAGTCCCACCAGTACGCTCCTCCGGCCGGCGAGTCTGCGCTGAATGGGTCATGTAGCCTGCATGCCCAGCCATCGAATGCCCAAGCAGCTTCTGTTTGACTGGATAGGGGGGGCTAAATGGGCACGACATGGGCTGGAGAAAAGATGGATTGACGCGGTACAGAAGGATATGGAGATGATTGGTCTTGCCGATGACTGGTACCAGCGGTGTCAAGATCGTTTTCTGTGAAGGAGGCTCGTGAAGGACACTACTGGGCAGCTGAAGGCATTCGCCCTCCAACAACAACGGAGGGCAGAGAAGCAATGCTTATGACAATGAGCGGAGCACCAGGCAGCTAAAACGCAACAAGTTAGTGAGCCTTCTACAGTTTCCGTGGCCTCAAGGTGCACCTAGCCTGGCAAAAGAACCATGGTGGCATAACCGCCACTTTGTGGCATAACCGCCACTTAGTGGCGAATGGTAGTTGTTGAGTGGGTTATTGAGTGGTTGGGTGAGAGTGTGGGAGTGGATTAGTGAGTGTGTTATTGTGAGCTGTGGTATGGAGAGTGGTAGTGAAGCGTTTAGCGCGCCGCGCGCGACGAACCCAGCGTCCTGGGTTCGATTCCCGCTCACGGCCAACGCAAGTGATGATTATCTGAACCTAGGTCGACTCAGCCTCAAATGGGTACCTGGTGCGGTGTGTAAACATCGCCACAAGGGAGACGGAGGCGGCTGGGCGTGGTGCTGGCCACTCACCCCCTCGCGTGCCATGCCGGCCTTCATAGGTGCTCGCTAACAACATTTGCCCCAACAGTCTGTTAAGGCTACATGGGGGGTCTTTGTTTGCGGTGTGGTGGTTGAAGACAGTGTGGATGAGACAAAGCAGTCAGTTTGGTTGACCGAGTGCTCACCATTGGTAGGAATCAATGGGAGAGTTTCACAGGGAATGTAACCATGGTAGTAATGATAGAAGAGTGATAAGGAGGCGACTGACCACCATTGAGCGATTGACTGGAGTGAATCAGAGAGTGCGGGATCATTACCCTGACGCAGTGGTACTTAACCTGGGTTCGATCGAACCCCAGGGGTTCGGTGAGTCGATCTCAGGGGTTCGGCAGAGCCCCCGCCACGGAGGTCCGGACACACTTGAATTATTGTGTAAATTTGTGATGACACACACGGCCCGCTTGGCCATCACTGGCTGCATATGATCATGCTACACTGCTTGGCCAATCAGCGCTGCGGGGAATTTAGTGCGTACTCAGTAGTCAACGTGTGACTGTTGTTGTCGTACGTCGTGTGATTTCTTTAATATTTTATCCATACTAACTATGTCGGGCAAAAGAGGAAAGTGGTCGGACGAATATGTACAACATGGATTCTCATGTATCACGGAACGTGATGGGAGTGAGCGTCCTATCTGCATGATTTGCAACGCCAAGTTGAGCAACTCTAGTCTTGCACCGGCAAAACTAAAGGAACACTTCTTGAAGCTGCATGGAGACGAGGAATACAAGAACACAACACTTGCTGAATTCAGGGTGAAGAGAGCCATATTCGATGAAAGGGCCACTCTGCCTGCTCTTGGATTTGTACCTGTTAACAAACCGATCCTGACAGCATCGTACGAAGTTGCTTACCTGATCGCAAAGCAGGGCAAGCCACACACTATTGGTGAAACACTTGTGAAACCAGCTGCATTAAAGATGGCGAATCTGATACTCGGAACAGCGGCTGAAGGTCAATTATCCCAAATTCCCCTTTCAAATGACACCGTCAGTGACAGAATAGAAGACATGAGTAAAGACATCTTGGCTCAAGTAGTCGCGGATCTGATTTCAAGCCCGGCAAAATTCAGCCTTCAACTCGACGAAACCACAGACGTTTCTGATCTAAGCCAGCTTGCTGTTTTTGTACGCTATGTGAAAGACGACATGATAAAAGAAGAGTTTTTATTTTGTAAGCCTCTTACAACAACAACGAAGGCAGCCGATGTGAAGAAGCTTGTGGATGACTTCTTCAGAGACAACAATCTTTCATGGGATATGGTTTCTGCAGTTTGTACGGACGGAGCTCCAGTCATGCTGGGAAGAAAGTCTGGTTTTGGTGCGCTAGTAAAGGCCGATGCACCACACATCATTGTGACGCATTGTATTCTGCACAGGCATGCGTTGGCAACAAAAACCTTACCTCCAAAAATGACAGAAGTATTAAAAACTGTGGTGGAATGTGTGAACTATGTGCGAAAAAGTGCTCTGAGGCACCGCATCTTCAGTGAGCTGTGTAAAGAAATGGGCTCTGAATTTGAGGTACTTCTGCTCCATTCTAATATTCGGTGGTTATTCCGGGGACAGGTGCTGAATCGTGTTTTTGCCATGCGTGTGGAATTAGCCCTGTTTTTGCAAGAGCACCAACACTGCCATGCAGATTGCTTCAAAAATCCTGAGTTCATTCTCATTTTAGCGTACATGGCTGATATATTCGCAGCTCTCAATCATCTCAATCAGCAGATGCAGGGTGGTGGAGTCAATATCATGGAAGCGGAAGAACACCTGAAGGCTTTTCAAAAAAAGCTACCGTTATGGAAACGACGAACAGAGAACAATAACTTCGCAAACTTCCCGCTTCTGGACGACTGTGCAAGTAAGATCGAAGATGTGTCTGGAATCGGAGATATTTCTGTATCCACGGAACTGAAGCAAACAATTGCCACGCACTTAGATGAGCTTGCAAAGTCTCTCGACGGATATTTCCCTACAAGAGAGTCATATCCAGCATGGGTGAGACAGCCGTTCACGTTTGCTGTTGAAACAGCAGATGTCAATGATGAATTCCTCGACGAAATCATTGAAATTCAGCAGAGCCAGGTTCAACAGCAACTCTTCAGAACAACAACGCTCTCAACGTTTTGGTGTCGACAAATGAACAAGTATCCAGTTATTGCTAAGAAAGCCCTGGATTTTTTTATACCATTTGTTACAACATATCTTTGTGAGCAATCCTTTTCGAGGATGCTGGACATAAAAACGAAGAAAAGGAACAGACTTTGCTGTGAAAATGACATGAGAGTGGCACTTGCCAAGGTGAAGCCACGCATATCTGAACTGATCTCTCAAAGGCAACAGCAGAAGTCACATTGATTTCCAGGTATGTAATTTGTTGTGAGTTTATGCATTGTGTTGGTTTTATTCTTTGAACAAGGTAATGTTCATGCACGGCTCATTTTGTGTACCAGTAAAAAACATATCTATGTCTTGAATTTGAAAAAAAATCACATTTTATTTTTCACTAAAGAGGGGTTCGGTGAATGCGCATATGAAACTGGTGGGGTTCGGTACCTCCAACAAGGTTAAGAACCACTGCCCTGACGACTATACTCTGCACTCATGTGCAGTCAGTTAGGAACTGGGCACTCCACCCCAGATATGATAGCAGCAAGATTCCAGCTTAGGAATGATCGTTTAGAGTTGATGAGGCTTTGGCACAGAGAAGAAAACCAAGCTTCTTAGATGACTCCTTAGCCAGATCAGCAACACGGCTGTTCCATAATAGCTCATGGTTTTACTAAGTATAAGAATATCATTGACACATATAATGGTAGGAATTAGAATTGCCAGCCATATGTGGTGCCTCAGTCTGGCTCTGTGAACCACTTTATCACACTTATGTATGTATGTTGTTGAACTTCTTTCGCACCGTACATAGCCACCGGTGCTAATCGGAAGTGTTGCTCCTCTGCTGCTCCTGTCTCTCCCAGCCCTGCCCCACGTCTCCTCACCCTCTTCCCTGATCATCGGCACTGCTCTGGCCGTGCGTTCTCCGTGTCTGCGCCCAGCCATGCCGGTCCCAGTCTTGGTGCTGGTGGTGGCTTGTATAGCTCCCTGGCAGACACGGCGCCTGTGCTACTTGCTGAGCACCTACTGGCGGCGACGCAGGCCTCCTTAGGCCTGCCCTGGTGGGCTACGATCACTTGCAGCACGATCGCACTCCGCTCCTGCGTCACCCTCCCCCTCACAGTCTACCAGATGCACGTGATAGCCAAGGTGTGAGTGGGTGACTGTGTGAGTGACTGACTGTGTATTATGAGTGGGGAGCGGTAATGTAGTGATTAGCACACTGCACTACGAACCTGGCGATCTGAGTTCCATTCCCTCTCACGGCCAACACTAGTGACGATTATCTGAAACAGTTTTGAACCTCCCCTAGGTCAATTCAGCCTCAAATGAATACCTGGTGTGGTGTTTAAACATCACCACTGGGGATACAAAGGCGGCCGGGCGTGGTGTTGGCAACTCACCCCCCTGTGTGCTGTGCCAGTCTTCATAGACGCTCGCTAATAGCACTTGCTCCTACAGTCTGTTAAGGAAATACAGCGATCTTTGTCTAAATATGTGAGTGTGTGACTAGTTTAAGGGCCAGAGAACATCCCTGTCACATTCCAAGGTGAGCAGGAAATGGCTCTTGACTCCCAGTCAATTAGCTTTGCCTGGGCCTGCCTGCCATCATGAAGGTCCTTAATCATTTTGAGCAGAGGGTCAGGAACCCCAAAAGCACAAATACCAACCCAAAGCCCTGGCCTATCGATGGTATCAAAGGTCTTGACCAAGTCATGAAATCAGAGATGTAGTCCCTGTTGAAATAGGGAGTACAGGTGGTGCATCTGCCAGTTATCTCGGTCGGTCAACCCATAACACCTGGGTCTGTCCCGTGATATCCTGCCAGCAGCGAGCCCCGACACTGTACGTGGCCTCAAAGTGCACATAGTCTGGCACAAGCACGATGGTGATGTCACCACTACTTAATGAAAAACACCGGTTGTTGATGTGTGATTCTGAGTCTCACCGTGTCGCCTGCCTTGGCTGCAGCTCTCCGCACTGCAACAGGAAATCGCGGAGCTGGCACGGCTGCTGCGGCGCGATGTGTCCGTGACGGCGCGGCAGCGCGGCTGGCCAGAGAGCACAGCGCGGTGAGACTGACACTCACCGCTCACTCATCCACATCATAATGAGTGGCAGTGACAACAGCAGCAGCATCTCCACCATCAGCAGCATCATTAAATTTCCATTTAAAGCTTTCGTGACTGCAAGGATTCATCTTCTTTGGTTCTTTCGGTAAAGTCACGTAGAATGAGAATAAAATAATAAATTGATAAAATAAAATAACACAAAATTCTCACGTTTTGGCCACTTGTGTTGTGGCCGAAACGTCGTGAGAATTTTATTGTGTTATTTTATCAATTTATTATTTTATTCTCATTCTACGTGACTTTACCGAAAGAACCAAAGAAGAAGCATCATCATTATCGCGGCCGTATTAGCATCATCAGCAGTAGCATCGTCAGGCAGCAGTCGCCTCCTTATCAGTCTTCTATCACTACTACCATCAATACTATTCCTGTGAACTTCACTCCTTGATTCCTCCACCCATATAGAGTATTCAGTCTACCTACCAGACATTGTTTTGTCTTATCCACCACACTGTGTTCAACAATTACACTCCAGATCACCACACGCGCACTCACTTATTTACCATCCTTACTTGGACATCAGGAAAACACCTCAATAAACTACAGCGACTTCAAAACAACTTGTCTCATATTCTGGGCATTAGGCATGGCCATATGACTTCCATGACTTTGTGAAAACCATTGCACTGACTCCCCATCAGTTAATGTATATGCAGGCTCTCACCCGTCCAGGCACTCACCTGTTCAGGCAATCACCTGTTCAGGCACTCACCTGTTCAGGCTCTCACACGTTCAGGTTCGCTTCCGGAGGACTTTGAGCTCTGGCTCCGCGCCTCTGAATTCTCTGTCGAACAATTCATTTGATACGTGAAATACGCATGCATTACAAATAGTGTTTATTATTATTTTGTTATTGTGAGTGTATAATTGTGACCTGTAGTATCGTGGTGGAACACTGTATAGATAAGATGCAACAATCAGTCTGGTAGAAGAAACTTCCTGTCTGTTTGGGCTCTCACCTAACCAGATAAAGTCTGCTCAGGTGAGCTTACCTTTCAGCTTATCCCCTGCGCAGGTTTGAGTTCCGCAAGGAGCTGAAACGCCTGGTGAGTGAGCTGTATGTGCGCGACAACTGCCACCCTGTGAAGGCCTCGCTGATCATGTGGGTCCAGATCCCCCTGTGGATCATCCTAACCGTCTCCCTGCAGAACATCTCCTGGCTCGCACAGGATGGTGAGACAGAGGCCAGAGGGTTCACGACCCACCGACCAATCCACTCACCCACACCACCAACCCACCCACACCACCAACCCACCCACCCACCAACCTACCCACCAACCTACCCACCCGCCAACCCACCCACCAACCAACCCACTAACGGGGGTGAATTACCACTGGTGAACAACTGACTGGATTGAAAAAGGGAATTCTAGATCATTACTCATCCTAACTTCTTTACTCGGAAATCCGTCAGGTGCAGTGATGTAGGTGTTGGAGTGTATTAGTGAGTATGTTATTGTGAGCTGCAGTGTGGTGGTTGAACAGTGTGGTTGAGACAAAACAGTCTGGTCGACCGAGTGCTCAACATTGGTAGGAATCAATGGGTGAATTTCACGGGGAAAGTAACCATGGTAGTAGTGATATAAGAGTGATAAGGAGGTGTCTGGCCATTATTGAGCGAGTGACTGGAGTGAGTCATTGAGTGCTGGATCATTAATCACCCTGACGACTATACTCTGAACTCAGGTGCAGTGATGTAGGAACTCGGCACACCACCCCAGATATGACAGCAGTAGGATTCTAGCTCCAACTGACTCTGTGCTGTGTGTAGCGGGAGTAATGATCATTTACAGTTGAAAAGGCTTTGGCACGGAGAAGAAGATTAAGTTTCTTAGATGCCTCCTTAGCCAGATTACCAACACAGCCGTTCCATGACAGCTCAGCTGAGGTTGCTGTGCCAAGCAGACAAATGGTTTTACTATGTATAAGAACATCATTGTTACGGAACTGTGGAATTGTCAACCTTCCTTAATATAATCGTTGATTGAGTTTGTGAGTTGAACATGTCTTGGTTTTTATCATCCCAATCAAACTAATTTTAAAGTCAGTGGTGATTGATTGGAAAGTATCTGCACATTGGACAACTAAATACTTTTCAGCCTGTGATTTAAATGAGTGATGTGTGAAGTGTGTTATCTGCAAAGGAGTGGATGGTATTGAGAGTGGGGGATAATGCGCAAATGATAAAGTGTGGTGTTGATTGCAGAGTCAAGCAAGTATGGAGGCCTCCTGGAAGGAGGAATGTTGTGGTTTTCCAATCTCACGGCACCGGACACCACGTGGATTCTGCCTATTTCTCTCGGCCTCATAAACCTGCTCATTGTCGAGGTTTGTGATGAAGTTGTTGAACCAAGGTGGCGTTATTTACATCTCGAGTTTCTTGAAACACATTTTTATTACAACAAAACGCGAGCCCGATACAACACCCAGAAAGATTCCAGTGATGGGGTACAGAAAGTCCACGGTAATCCACTCCGGTGTGACGGAACCACGCGAAAGGGCATGAGAAGGAGGGGAATAGGACCCACCGCTGCCCCAGCCAAGTGGGGACCTCGCATTAGGGGGAAGATGAAGACTTAAATGGGGAGGGAAAGACGGGGGGGGGGTTCCAACTAGGGTTTTAAAATCGGCTATTTATTGTCGCCCGTAACCGAATAGTGAAAAATATATATGATGTGCCGTGCATACAGACAGACATATACTTACTAACACCTGACTTACGAACGGGTTTGGGAACGGAACTCGTTCGTAAGTGGAGGACTGTCCGTATGTCTTCTTACCTATAAACGTAATTTTTTGTCTGTCTGTCTCTCTGTCTGTCTGCGCACATCTATCCTTGCATTGCTTTTAACTAACAAACTGTTGGGTTTACGTTTCAACAAAGTAGACAGATACAACACACTAAGCCTCCGGACGAAAATGCGCTATTTGTTTTTGCCCTTGGTCAAATGTAAACTAATAAAATCACACTGTATAACAATTTACGCTGATCGTGGTGCCAAGCACGCATCTGAACGCTGACTCGTGGTTGCTCTTACTAACGCACACGAGCTTGCTGAGGGGCGACGGGAGGGAGGTTCTCCTTTGCATAAAAAATGCCCAAAAAAATTAAGCATAGTTACTGCTGCACAACCACACGCTGAGGTAAATCCTGAACAGTGTGATGTCCTGTTCTCCCCCCCCCCCCACCCCAATGTGTGCAGTTACGACTATAGAGTCAGTAGACACTACTATAGAGTCAATAGATACTACTTTAGTCAGTAGATACTACTGTAGAGTCGGTAGTTACTACTGTAGAGTTGGTAGATACTACTGTAGAGTTGGTAGATACTACTGTAGAGTCGGTAGATACTACTGTAGAGTCAGTAGATACTACTGTAGAGTCGGTAGATACTACTGTAGAGTCGGGAGATACTACTGTAGAGTCGGTAGATACTACTGTAGAGTTGGTAGATACTACTGTAGAGTTGGTAGATACTACTGTAGAGTCGGTAGATACTACTGTAGAGTCGGTAGATACTACTGTAGAGTTGGTAGATACTACTGTAGAGTTGGTAGATACTACTGTAGAGTTGGTAGATACTACTGTAGAGTTGGTAGATACTACTGTAGAGTCGGTAGATCCTACTGACTATTGTAAGTAGGGTGTGTAGGTATATATGTCTACAAAATAAAAATTGGCTGGGGGAGGGCGGGAAATCTTTTAGATCAACTATTTCCCCCCCCCCCCCCCCACTGTCTGCAAGCCTCTTACAATTTTGTTGACGGACAAATGGACAGACAAACGGAATGCCAGGCTTTCACAATAGCTTAGTATTTGTGTATGTATATGTTATGTTTTTAATAGAAGACAAGTTTTGAAATATATTTTCCCCCCGGGTACTTCCTGCTCGTAACCAATAAACGTAAAGTGTGACCTTGTTAACTGAGATATTAAGGGAGCTGCTGTAGCCTAACGGTTAGCACGCTGGTCTTACAATCAAGAGATCACCAATTCGATTCAATCTCCTGGTGTGGCAGTACAAACGCGCTTCATTATTGAAAATATCACCTGCTTCTTATGTTCCACTCCGTCTCCACGGAGGAGGCCCTGCGGTGTCTGCCTGCACTTTCTGCCTGTTCTCTTGTTGGTTTGTGTCTGCCTGTGCTTTGCGGCCCTGTAAGCTCGATTAAAAGCCATTTTTATGTTTACGCACTATCGTATTGTGGGGCAGGTTTTGCGTGTTATGCTGAGGGGTGGCAGCAAGGTTCGCCATGGTAGCGTGATGTTAACTCCCTTTTTTGGTATGCAGGAGATCGTGGGTTTGATCCCGACCCTGACTCCTATAGATTTGGAGTTTGCATGTCTCTTTCACCCCATGGTGGTCTCGTGGATTTTTCTCCAGGTCCTCCGGTTTTTCCCTCCACATTTATAACATGCATTTAGAGTATTTGGCTGATATAAATTTGCACGTGATAAGCAATGGGGGAGCCAGGATTTTCATGTGGGGGGAGGGCAACCCTTCCAGCAATGAAAAATGATAGGAGTTGTTAGTAAGTAAGAACTTATCCCTTGATTTTGATTCGACGCGTGTGTGGCGATGGCGCAGCCATCGATCGAGGGTCGAATTTGAACCGTGTGTGATCGGCATCGCGCTCACTGAAGGTGAATGCCTTCAGGGAAGTCGTGTACTGTATACGCAACTGCGCACAATTCTGTGAGTCATTTATAACTGCTTTGCCATTACTTATTGACAATTATGGACTCAGACTATTGTCCTATCATCTTATAGAGTCACTGGCACATGATAATATGCTACACAGTGGCAGTGGGGGGTCGCAAAATGCCGATTTATTACTAACTAGCTTTACTACCCGGCTTCGCCCAGGACTTGGATTCTTGTCTTAGATTAATACACGGCCTACGCGGAGGGTGGGGGGGGGGATGCGTGGCGTCAGCAGGCACACTGCGTAACGCTGCCGCATGCGGGTGACATCACAGATGTGAGGTCACTGCTCACCCCCCCCCAAAATACAAAAGTCTATTTTTATACTTTTTGCATTGTGTACAATCTGGAAGCTACCCACATGCTAAATTTCAAGTTTGTTGCATGTCAGGAAGTATGCTAAACATTTCGAACAGACACATTCACAAATTTCCCTTTTATATATAGATAAACCCCAATGATCCGATCGAAATTAGGGATTTCGATCAGATCATTGGGGGGGCATGTACCACACCACCCCCCCCCCCCCACTGGCTCTGCCAGTGGTGATAAGCCACTTCGTTGAGCTATCATTTGCGGCCAGGTCACTTCTGGAAAAGAGCTATATAGCTCAGTGGGCCTTACCTGGTAAAATATATTTTTTATAGTTTTATAGTTAGCTGTCCATGTCTGTGTTGCAGATGTTTGCGCTGCAGAGGAAGGACATGTCGCGCATGCAGCGGTTTGCTACGAACTTCATCCGACTGCTCTCATTAGTGATGGTGCCAGTCGCCGCAGCGGTCCCGTCGGTGCGTATGCTCACGCACACAGCTCGCGAACCAGTCAGAGCAGTGCTCCTCAACCTTTTTCATTACACGGCACTCACCTTCAAGCCCGCTAGATCTACGCGGCACACCGAAGCAAAACGTCCCAACGGTAGGCCCGGCTGGGAACATTGTATCGTAGTTCACTACACACGCCGTTGGTGGCGGCTGTTTACCCACCTGCGCATGCGAGACCGAGGGAGTTGAGAGGACCTTGGGTGAGGGATGACAGCTGTCTGCTGCTGCCGTACTGCGCTTGCGTGACCAGTGAAAAGGGGAGGGCAGGAGGTGGGGGCTTGAGGTTCTTTCCTGTACAGTAATTCTGAAAATACCGCGGCACACCTGTGAGTTATATCGCAGTACGCTAGTGCTCTGCGGCCCACCGGTTGCGAAGTGCTGCACTCGTGCCAAGCCAGGTAGCTCAACCGTAGACTGAGCAGCTCACAAGCAGAGGGTCGCGAGTTAAAATCCTGGTTGGGGCTTCACTCAACCCATCATCTCTGTGGGGTCAATAAAAAGAATACCACTATGTGGGGAAGTCAACAGTGGTTGTTCGATAGACACTCAACCCTGCCATAGGAATATTGAATTTCCACCACTGACTCAGGGCTGTAAAAAGGAGATGAGCACCAATGCCTCAATACTCATTTGAGCAGGATATAGGTTTTGTTTTAGTTGATGATCTCAGCCAAGTCACAAATGACAGCATAAAAAAAACATCCCAGTAAAATGTTAGTCCTCTGAGTTGGAATTGACGCATTTTACTGGAATACCATTGTTTCCTGCTAAGTGCATGCCAAATGTGTGCGCTCGGCTTCATGTAACCCTAAACTATGGCCAGACACCGGTAACCCACTGAGAACATATCCCCTGTTGTTTAAGAGTGGAGAGTGTGTGATCTCTCACCTGTGCCTCCTGTGTCCTCCTCAGGCTGTGAGCCTGTACTGGGTGAGTTCCAGCGCTGTGGGTCTGGCTCAGAACCTGGCTTTGAGGGCTCCACGAGTCCGTTCCCTCCTGCATCTGCCACGTTCCCCCATGGACTCCGAGACACCATACAGAGACCTGGCTCGATCATTCCGCTCCAGGATCATGGATAGAGGCGGTTCTGCAGAGACACCCAAGACGCGAAGATGAAATGGAACGAAGTGAAAGGCCGAGGCCTTGCTCGAATAATCTTGACTAAATAGTGAAATAAAAACCTATTCCATTTGTAGAACGTAGCCGTTTTCATATTATTGTATGTGTGATCACATTGTTGCAGATGTTTTTTCACAGCTCAAATACAAAATGAACTCTGGAGATGATGCTGGCTCTTCTGAGATGTTATTGGTGAAGTCAGATCAATTAGAATACATTTTTATAGTTTAAATTGTCATCTATAGTTTGAATGCGATTAGTTGTTCCTTTGAGGTCATGACACCGATTGAAAAAGCTGGGTCAGGCAACGCAGTTATTCTGACTTCCTGGGTTCTGACCTGAAGATGCATGATGCAGATTCAATTGAAACGCTGTCGATATAATTGTAAAACTTGGTGGTGAGAATTGTTATTAAATCACCGGTGAGCTAAACAATAATTGGCGCATTGATAAACGCTTGCACACGTGACACGTATTTGGCTGTGTCGGGTGGTGGTGGGGCAACTTAAAAATAAACATTTCCAAATAGTTTTTTTTCCGAATGGCAGGCAGCCCCATGAGTGGCTATGAATCAATGTAACTCGCAGACAGTGATGCCCCAAATACATAGCAGTGCTTTCCAAGTCGCTCTTGGAAGTTGTAACTTAAGTGTTTTTGTTGCATAAATGATCTTATCTTGCTGACCCGTCCGTGGCCGGAAAAACCCGTAAGGTCAACATTACGGGGTCAAAATCACGGCCAACTGCTGTTCAGTACATTTTAAAACGGGAAACTCAAATAACATCGATTGTCACGAGTGCTATTAGCTGCTGAGCATCTGCTGCCGTTCCGCAAAGATGTGTATGAATCTCTGAACAACTCGGTAGCATCAGACAGCTCGCCACATCTGCAGGAATTGATTTGAAAACTCATACTGGTAGGAACGAAGTTGTAAACTGAGTGTACCAGCCTGCAATAGATTAATGTGTCCGTCCGTCCCCTTTCAATACTTTAACGAAGTGAAATCTCGTGCTGTTGGGTGTAAAATCAGCAATAGACAGCGCAGAGACTTGTCCTACCAACCCACCCTGCAGGGACCTGTTTTCTTTAAAATTGTTTTTTGTTTTGTAAGCCTGCCCCCGCAACTCCAATTAGCACGGTTGGCTATATACGGTGCAAAAGAAGTTCTACATCCGTACACGAGACGCTTTTGTATTGTTTGTGTAACGGATCATTTTGGTCACCCAGGTCACGCTTGCAAATGAGACTCTCCAGTCCTCTACCGGTCTCGCCTGAGTTCCGAGTTCGCTTCCTGTCGAGGCGCAGGCGACACAGAAAAAGAGTCCCAAGGCCCATTTTCAGGAGGGTCCTGTCAAGTCTTAGCAGTGTGGGACGGAGGGGGGTATTTAATCCCAATTGAGTCGTTTGCGGTCTTTATTTTTCCTATTTGGACGATGACACACCGGCACACAATGGGCTGCATCGTTTATGGTGACGTCACGGGTTCTTTAACGTCCCGTTTCAAGCGGGTGCCGCGTTATTTTTTATGCGATTAGACCAAAAAAACATTTGAAAACAAAATATTTAAGTATGCTAAACTCATAACCGAGTTTTAGCGTTTTTCATACGATTACCGGTTACGCTGGAAACCGGTTTTAACCACCCAACCTCACGGGTGAGATAATTGTTTAGTTTTATTTGTATATTTTTTTACGTGATTTGTTTACCCTTCATATAGTTTGCACCCCTGTCGTGTTTTTATATTGTTTGTAACGTAACCTCCCCCACCCCACCCCTGGACGCTTGTGACAAAAGAGTTTCATAGCTCATCGGATTCCTCCTGCAGTCGAAATGAAGATTCCCAGTGGGGCGTGGGGCCGCGCGGCGCCCACGAGGCTACGCGGGCGCCATGTTGGCAAGGGGCTAAAAACGCCAACGTCCGCTTCGCGCGGGACTGTGCGTCGCGTGTGGATGACGTCACGACGCGAATCCTCCCCCCCCTCCCCCGATTGCTGAGCGCAGACTCCCCTGATCAACATGGCGCTCGAGAGCATCCGGCACGTGGTGCACGCGTCACCACGGAGTCGATTGTTGGTTCCGTCTCCGCAGAGGAGGTACCCCGCGCTTTCTCTGCTCTCTGCGCTCTCTGTCCGCTCTCTGTCTCTGCTCCCTGTCAACGCTCGCTCCCTCCACTGTCTCCACTCTCTCTGCTCTCTGTCAACGCTCGCTCCCTTCACTGTCTCCACTCTACTCTCTGTGTCAACGCTCGCTCCTTCCACTCTGCTCTCTGTCAACGCTCGCTCCCTCCACTGTCTCTGCTCCCTCCACTCTCTCTGCTCTCTCCACTCTCTCTGCTCTTTCCATTCTCTCTGCTCCCTCCACTGTCCCCACTCTCTCTGCTCTCACCACTCCGCTCTGCTGTCTCCACTCTCTCTGCTCTCACCACTCCGCTCTGCCTTGGCTTTGCGGGCCCTGCTCTAGGGCTTCGGATTTGGCGTCGCGAGGCGCCGGTTGCAGGGGGTGAGAGCCGGGGAGGTTGGAGCGGGGAGGTTGGAGCGGGGAGCGAGGAATTGCGGCGAGGAACGGAGTTGCTCTCACGGAGATTCGCTCTCTGATTTAAAAACCCCGCGGCGTTGGGACGCTCGCTGCTGTGAAACAAAGGCGGCCGGGAGTGGGGGCATGCGCACTTGAGACTCGTATCCAAGTGACCAGTGGAGGCATTGGTGCTCGTCTAATTACACCCCTGCAGAGCCACAGGTAAACATTCTACGTTCTTGTGGCGGAGACGAGTACTTCCATTTGACAACTACTTTTGACTTCACACAAAGTGGTGCTGGTTGTATCGAATGGATGTTGGGCTGAGTGAAACCCTGACCAGGATTTTAACCTTGCAACCTTTCGATTGGTTCGATAGATTAAAGCCACGCCACTGTTTGTGGTCATTTGGACGGACTCGCTCCCGCCGTAGGAACGTGGAAGATCCTACAACTAGTTCAGGACTGTGAACAGGAGGTGAGAGCACCGCATCAGGGCTCATTTGAGTAGGAAATCACTTGGACGCGTATACATAGGGTGGCGCAGTGGTCAAAACATTTGTGCCGCACGATAAGGCACCTGGGTTCGATTCTCGAGTCTGGCCCCGTTCGGTGTGGAGTTTGGGTGTTCTCTCCCCCTCCTGTTCTGCATGAGTGTCTTCAGGGTTCTCCGGTTTCCTCCCATAGCTAATGCTCATCTGGGTGGGAAAGGACGGTGCCCCCTCGCACCTGTGAGTTAAACTCCCTCGCCTGATACACAGGAGGTCGTGGGTTCGATTCCGATCCTGACGCCTGTTGTATATTTGGATTTTGCGTGTCTCCAATGTCCCGTGGATTTTTTCCAGGTCCTTCGGTTTTTCCACTTGATAAGCCGCTTCGTTGAGCTATCATTCGTGGCTTCTGAAAAAGAGATGTGGGCTTTACCTGGTAAAACATTGTTTAGTTTTTATGTAAAAAAAAAAACCTCATGAATTAACGAACAACATCTTAATATAAAGAGGACTGCAGAGCTTGGCCAATCGTTTGCGACGGCTCACCGCCTGGCTGCTGCCTTCCTGCATCTCTGGTTTCCCATGCCTCTTAAACAGAAACGGCGAGCCTTACAACATTCTAACGTGTTAAATGAATGTATTGTGTTGTACGGTTGTTTAGAGTGAAGATCTGAATGCAGCTTCTCATTTTGGCAAGTTTCTTTATTCGTGCCTGTGAAATTTGATATTCGCAAATCTAGCGCTGACCCCGACCCAAGCAACAGGATTGATGAGTGAAATAGTCCTGACACCATGTAATTGCTAAATATTCTTCAACTTACTTATGAGCATAAAAATGTTTGGCTCCTGGACATCTGTGAAAAAGAGCTTCATAGCTCATTGGATTCCTCCAGTTTAAATAATGATTCTGATTGTACACCGGGGGAAAATTTAATTTGTTTGGCTGTGCCATGGTGGTGGAGGAGTCTTTAAGACACAAATTTGACCAATATTTCATGGCCTAACCCAAAAATCAATCATAAATTCGTATTTACAAGTGGACATTACAAGCTGATATGTTTATATTAGTTTTCAGTTGATTCTACATGTTTGCGTTAAATATGAGTTTTTATTCCATTTTGTTGCTTTTGTCATTGTCATTTTTCTCTTTTGTTTTTGTTTGTGTCTCTAGCCCATCGGCCCATTCGGGAGATTTTTGTCTCCAGCCCATCGGCCCATTCGGGAGATTTTTGTCTCCAGCCCATCGACCCATTCGGGAGATTTTTGTCTCCAGCCCATCGGCCCATTCGGGAGATTTTTGTCTCCAGCCCATCGGCCCATTCAGGAGATTTTTTGTTCAGGTTTTTCTGGGGTTGCCAACTCCGCATTTAGATATATACCACTACCATCACCACCATCAAAACCATTGCCTCATTTACCACCACCGCAATGACACATCACCAATAGTACAATGGCCAACAACGCTACCACCACCACCATAACTATCACCACAATCCTTCAGTGTCTAATTTGCTGGTCTCACCACAACATTATTGCCATGACCACTTTTGGAAAAGCAACCTTCACCATCAGATGGGCTGGTTTCATCAGACAGTGGAGAAAGGACTTGGACTTGAATTTTCCCTCTCGACTACAACAGCCGCATGTGTCACTGCTGGACTGACAGCGTCACTTAGCGGTCATGGCACTGGCCTCTGAGCCTGTTCACACGGAGCCAGCGGTTCGATTCCCACTACAGCTTCCACCAGGTAATTAACGTTTGCGTGGATTTACCAAAGTGCAATATATTACAAAGAGTGGTTTGCATCACTTGCAAGAAGCAAGTACTTTTTTGTGCGGCTGGTGTTGTAGCCCAAATACAATAACAGTTACAAATTCACTACCACTTAAATTCAAAATAATATTATTAAATGGACTTGCATGCTTCTAACCATGCGTGTGTCCGGTGATGGAAATGTGAATGTACAAGTGCCGGTTTGAAACCCTTATGTTCTGCTGCAGAACATAAGGGTAGAAACATCATGGCATAGGGATAGGGAACCACTCTTACAAGTGCCGGTGTGCGTGTCTGGTGTCCTGAGAAGCGCCGGTCTGACGTACTTTGATATACCTGCACGTGTCCACTCAGAGCCGTCCCTAGTGTACGGCAAATTGGGGTGACCGTCCCGTGCCCCGCGCTTTTGGAGCCCCATGTTTCAATGTCATGGTGTCAGTTGTAATACTTGAGGCATCGGGGGTGGCGGGGGGTGTTTTGTCCTGGGCCCTGCACCCCGCTTTGTCTGCACCACTGTAAGTCTTCCTTCAGGCATTGAACACCCTTGCTCGACAAACATCGTCAATACCATCACCTAACAGGGCAACGATTGTGTGCATCTCATCTGAAACACTGAGCCAGTGGTGGAAATTTTACATTCCCAAAATCATGGCCAGGCTCCTTACAACTATGTGGTTTTTCATTTAATTTGCTTGAGTTAACCTTGCCACCAAGATATTTGATTCAACATTCTTCGGATTGCAAGTCGAGCAAGTCTAAATATTCCCTGAATTCAAATTGTAAAGCACAATTGCAACACCTTTCATCGGCATCAGTAGTTTTCAAATACATATGTATATTAGACCTCCGTATATCCAGATTGTGACCAGCATCAATTACCAATGCCGTCATCAGTGTCACCAGTTAGACCAACACTATTGCCATTGTCGGTTCGACACAATGTAAATTCCTATTGTGGTTTTAAAATTGTAAAATCTGAATTGTAAATATGATCATTGTCACTACCACTGTCACTATATCCTGCCTCATTGTCATCATCGCCAGTGTAAGGAGATCCACAGGGTGCGTAATGACTCCGTATGCATCCAGGTTTCTATGTTTGACATCACCAAACCCTTCAACCAACCCATCGCCACCATAACCCAACCCATCACCATCACCCTACCCATCCTCATCATCACCTAAACCATTACCATCAGCACCATCACCCAAACCATCAACATTGTTATCACTCCAAGCATCACCGTCATCCCCCCACCCATTACCATCAATCCACTCATCACCCCACCCATCAACAACGCCCCACCAATCACCATTATCACTCCATCCATCATCACCATGAACCATCCTCTGCACCTCAGAAACCTGGTCCCCCCCACCGCACATTGCTGTTTCCCAGGTCTCTGAGCCAATGGCGTTGCTCTCCGGGCAAGACGAAGTAAAGCTAGAGGAGGAGCAGCAGGAGGAGCGGGTGAAGCAGGAGGTGAAGCAGGAGGATGAGCAGCAGGAGGAGCGGGTGAAGCAGGAGGCTGCAGAGCAGCAGCAGCAGCAGCTCGGCAACGAGCGGAGGCTGCGTCCTCGTCACAGAGCGAGCAGCAATGGGGGGCTGGCAGGGCCCCCTCCTCCAAAAACCAGGCTTGAGGAGGAAGAGAGAAAGAAAGAAAAGAAGAAAAGGATTTGTCGGAAGAGAAGAAAGAAGAACGAGGAAGAGGAGGAGGACAAGGAGACGAAGGAGGAGGAGGAGGAGGGGAATCGTCGCTTACCGTGCAGCACGTGTGGCCGCGTGCTGCGTGGGGAGACGCGGCTGCGCCGGCACCTAGCTACCGGGCACCGGCGGAGCCTCGCCTGTGAGCGCTGTCCCAAGAGGTTCTCGCGGGAGGAGGAGCTCGGCCTACACCGGCAGACGGACTGCGAGCGCAGCATCCAGGTGCGGGCTGTCGAAGGACGACCGGCCAACGGTTTCAGAATCTCTGTTAAAAAAAAGTTAATCTGTTGTGTTTGTTGCTTTGGACGGTTCTGTGTGTGTGCGGAACAGTGGTGCAGCGGTTAGCGCGATGCACTGTGAACCCGGGAGCCCGAGTTTGATTCCCGTGCAACACCAGTGACGATTATCTGAATCGGTTGTGGGCCTCCCCTAGGTTGACTCAACCTCAAATGAGTAGCTGGTGCGGGTTGTAAACATCGCCACTAGGGAGACAAAGGCAGTTGGGCGTGGTGCTGGCAACCCACTCATATGCTGTGTCAGTGTTCATAGGTGCGCGCTAACAGCACTTGCCCCAACAGTCTGTTAAAGGCTATATGGGGGATCTTTGTTTTCCCCCCAGTGCTTTACATGTGAGAAGTCATTCAAGAAGCTGTGGTACCTGCAGCAGCACATGAAAACTGTGCACAGCCCCGCAGAGAGGAACGTTGCCTGTGACATCTGCGGAAAGAAATTCTACACCCTGGCCCAGGTCAAGAAACATCTGGTCGGTGAGTCCACAGCCTGACCTGACATATATAAAGACAAAGATGCCCCATATAGCCATAACAGATTTTTGGGGCAAGTGCTGTTAACGAGCACCTATGAAGACCAGCACGGCACACGAGAGGGTGGCTTGCCACCACCGCTCCTGGCTGCCATTGTCTCCCTTGCAGTAATGTTTACACACCACGTACTCATTTGACATCAGTGACAACATAATTGTCACTGATGTTGGCCATGAGTGGAAATCAAACTCGGATGGCCGCCAAGTTCGTAGCACAATACGCTGTCCGCTCACCAGCGCTCCCCACATATACACACACACACGGCACAAAACAGCCAATCGCGCCATTGTGGAAAATATACAATGTAAATTATTGTCTAGGTATTGTGCTGAATCAGGAACCATGTCTACCACAGAGGGCCTTTGCCTAAAATAGATTATCTGACAGTTCACCAGCATTATTTCAAGCAAGCCTAACCAATTCTGGCCCTTCATCATCTATGTGATATGTCAGAGAGCCAGCATTGTCCGATACGTCACCTCTTATATAAGTCTTTCCTTTAGGACCCATGCCCTAAACCTTCGACAGTGCTCCACAACCCTAATGCATGTATATTGAACTCCTTTCGCACCGTACGTAGCAAACCGTGCTAAACAGAGGTGCAAAATCACGCTTGGAAATATTAATATGATTAATGAGAAGTCACACACCTCCTCCTCGTCCAAGACCCGACGCAGACGATTCCAGGATTCGGTCTTCCATGAAGCTCAGGGGACCACAACCCTGAATCGCATCCACACACAAACCATGGCAGCAGATGCAAATACTTAATATTGATGCACAGATGGCAAATTAAACTCAACGATTTTTATTTTACCACGTAAGGCCCACTGAGCCATAGAGCTCTTTTTCAGAAGCGACTTGGCCATAAATGATAGCCCAACGAAGTGTCACGTGGAAATATATAGCAGCCAAATACTCTAAATGCACGTTTTTAAATGTGAAGGTAAAAACCAGAGGACCTGTAGAAAAATCCACCCGATCACAAGGAGAACATGCAAACTCCAAATATACAGGCGTCGGGATCGAACCCACCATCTCCTGCATACCAGGCAAGGTAGTTAACATCTTGCCACCGTGGTGCCCCTGTATATGTATATATATAAATAAATAAACTCTCCGGTCAGAGTGCGAAGACTGCGGTCACCACCCACAACAGAACCACGGAGCGTATAACGACTCGGTGACCAATTCGCAAATATGGAGGAGGCATCGCGGGAGCGAAGATTCACCACTCCGCTGCTCCTGACGCAATCATCTGGCTCATTAGCCACCTCAATGTAAAATTACCGTCCCTCTACATCAATATTAAATCGGCACATGAAGAAGTCCGCAGTGTTATGGAACAATGTGTTGTGCGTTCGTTTTGTGTGCTCGTGCCCTACAGTTGTGTGTATGTACGTATATTGAACTCCTTTGGCACCGTATGTAGCCAACCGTTCTAATTGGAGGTATGGGGGAAGGACAACAAACTAAACACTAAAAGCAGTTCCAAAAAAAACCAACATCACCAAAGAAATGTGTTAATTATATTAAACAGGGTGTGAGAGGCTTTACCGCACCTTCCATTACCACGGTTGGCTACGTACGGTGCTAAAGAAGTTCAACAAACACACCGTACATATTTTCGAGAGCAACTTTGTAACTCGATTTGCCGGTCATCCACCTCCCCTCCCGTAGCTCACCGCGAGGACATGCCGTACACGTGCGAGACTTGCGGCAAGTCCTTCAAACGCAGCATGTCCCTCAAGGTGCACAGCATGAAGCACTCGGGGCTCCGACCCTACAAGTGCAAGGTGAGAGCCGTGTGTGAGAGCACCCCCGGGTCAGTACGGTTGGCTACGTGTTCAACTACACACATACAGCGCACGTGGAGGAAACTCTCCACGCACTTCACTCGAGTGATTCCTCCACTCATGTTGAAGGAATTTGTCGTCTACCAGATTTGACTCACTGACTCGCTACACTGTTCAACCACTTCGCTGCAAGTTACAACAACTCGGCCACCCACTCAAACAGCCTCTTGGCCAACCATCATACTGCATGTCACGTCAAAACAAAGATCCCCTGTATAGTTTAACACGTAGTCTTTCGCGACCAATATCATCTATAATATAGTTTTTTTGGGTTAGATCACGTAAATATAAATGTGTCGTTAAACCCCCCACCACCCAACACAGCCAATTATTAAGGTTTGTCCCGTATACAGAACATGCCAATTCGTTACTAGTGCAGCACACCGGTGTGTTGGAGAGCAAATCCTCAACATTGATGGCGGCTTTAACGACCCATTATATTTACGCGATCTAACACAAAAAACCTATATTATGGGTCCCCTGTATAGCCTTAACAGACTGTCGGTGCAAGTGCTGTTCGCGAGCACCTATGTAGGCTGGCACGACACACGAGGGGTTAGGTGGCCATCACCATGCTCGACTGCCTTTGTCTCCCTTATGGCAATGTTTACACATCGCACCAGGTACTCAATTGAGGCTGAGTCGACCTAGGGGAGGCCCAGAAATGGTTCAGATAATCGTCATTGGTGTTGACCGTGAGTGGGAATCTAACTCGGGTTTCCGGGTTCGTAGCGCACCCACACACTCAACCATCATTCTGCATGTCACATAAATACTCACCCACCCACCACACTACAGATGACAAGACATTCACTCTCTGTCACCCACGCATTCACTCACAACACTGCAGGTCACAAATCTTCGCTTTTTGCTTCATACCCTGCACTGCTGCACTTGGTAATTCCCTCCCATTCTCTCTTTTTCCAAGTTCTTACAATAACCTTGCTCAATTTAAGAAACCTGTTAACTCTTGCTGATTACGTCTCTTGATAGTGCTGTTTTTTGCTGGCCGCTTGAAATTTGGGGACGTGTTAAAAAATAAATATACCCCATCTGTCGGTGATTTGACTGGGCTGCCCCCCACTGGCCGTGTTAGTGCATGTGTGGCCAGATGAGTGAATGGGTGGCTGTACGAGTGAATGTGTAGCCGTATTAGTGAATGAGTGGCAGTGTTAATGATTGGGTGGATGTATGAGTGATTGGTGTCTGTCATTGCAGCTGGAGAGCTGCACTGAGTGCTTCATGTATCGCTATCAGCTGAGAAACCACATGAGTGTGCACGTGGGACACAAGGAGTTCATGTGTCAGTGGTGTGGGAAGGACTTCAGCATGAAGCAGTACTTTGATGAGCACCTCAAGGTACATACAGGTGAGATCCCATTCACCCAGTTACTAACATAACCACCCATTCACTTACACACCCACCCATTCACATAAACAGCCACCCATCCACCTAAACAGCCACCCATCCACTTACAAGGCCACCCATCCACTAACATGGTAACTTATTCACTAATACAGCCACCCATTTTACTTACACGGCCACCCATTTACTCACAGCCAGTGTATGGTTGATAGTGTGTGCCGTGTAGGGTGTGTGTCAAGTGTGTCTGTGTCGAGCACTAGTTTGCATCTTGTGTAGTGCGGTGTGTAGAGTGTGCGGTAGTGTCGTAATTAGCGCGCTGGGCTTCGAACCCAGCAACCCAGTTTTGATTCCCGCCCATGGGCAATACCAGTGACGATTATCTGAACTGGGCCTGGGCCTCCCCTAGATCAACTTAGCCTCAAATGAGTACCTGGTGCAATGCGTAAACATCGCCACTGGGGAGACAAAGGCGGCCGCCGTGCCGGCCTTCATAGGTGCTCGCTAACAGCAGGCTATACGGGGGACCTTTGTGTAGAGTGTGCGGCGTGTAGAGTAATTGTACGAGTCTGTGTGTGTCGAGTGTGCGGTGTGTCGAGTATCTGTACAAGTCTGTGTGTGTAGAGTGTGCGTTGTGTCGAGTACCAGTACGAATCTGTGTGTGTAGAGTGTGCGATGCGTAGAGTACCAGTACAATCTGTGTGTGCGTGTGTGTGCCATGTCTTGCAGGTGAGAAGCCGTTTGCGTGCGACGCGTGCGGGAAGCGCTTCACGAGCCGCCCCAACATGAAGCGCCACCGCCGCACACACACGGGCGAGAAGCCGTACGCGTGTGAGGGCTGTGGCCTGCGCTTCCGCTTCTCCAACATGCTGAAGGCACACGCTGAGCGCTGCCTGCTGGCACTCGAGAGGGTGGCGGCAGCAACGGCGGCCGTGAACGGGCAGCACTTTGTCCCTCCGGCCTTCCCATACCACACCGAGCATCATGGGTAGAGAAGCGGTGGGGGGGGGGGGTAAGGCACAAGGCTTCCCGCTTGCTTCATGTGAAACCACGGAGCAGACAGTACTGTATACTCCACACCTTGCTGTACTCACACGCACATCCTAACTATCCACCACACACACACTAACTATCCACCACACATACTTTACACCAGTGGTAGGCAACCTTTGGCACACGCCCTAGACACCCCCGCAGTGTGTCTAGGGCGACACGTGGGTTCATGATTGGTGTACGAGCATGATGTCAAACTTGCGGCCTGCTGATGTGAAGGAGGGCTATTAATGTGGCCTACCAACTCGTCTGGGTTACCCACCACTGCTATACACACGCACACACTCACATTGTTCACCACGCTCACTCTACACAGACTACACACTCAGACGTGTCAGCTTACCCACGGTATGGTGTTGCTTGCGCTTTAAAAGTATAGGTGTACAACGAGTGTTGGAAAGGGTTCTTTTAACACAGTTGCTAAGCCCAAGGCTCAGAACGACAGGTCAAGTTGATCTTGTTGAACCAGGTGAGAACTCAAGGGACCAGGATGAGTCTCAAAATGACGAGAGCAAAACAATAGAAGTACGACAATGAAGCAAATGGAAATCGGTGCAAAAACAACTGCACATCAAGTGACCAGCAACAAACAACACTCATGAGTTGTAAGTGGTGAGAGCTAACACTTTTTAATTGAACAAGGTTATTATGAGAGCTTGGGAATAGACGATGGGAGGGAATTTCTAATTGGAGCAGTGCAAGGGAAGAAGTAGGAAAGTGAAGTGACCTGCAGTGTGGTGATTGAACGGGTGAGTGAATTGGTCAGTGAGTGAGTGTTGTGACCTGCACTGTGGTGAGTGGGTGAGTGAGTATTTACTGCTTGTTTAGTGGGTGAGTGAGTGTGTTGTGTGAGCTGTTGTGACCTGCAGTATGGTGGCTGAACACAGCGTGGATTAAACAAAATAGTTTGGAGAAATAAACGAGTGAAGTTAACGAGGATAGCAACCACGCTAATAGTTATAGAAGAAAGATAAGGAGACGACCGACCACCGTGAGCAGGTGATTGAAGTGAATCGGTGACTACTGGACCATCAATCACCCGAACGGCTCTGTGTTGAAGTCTATCAAGCACTTGTCTAACTTAAGGCTCGGGTTTATAACTGATTTTATTATGAAGACAAGGATTATGCTCGGTCACTGAATGAATTTTGACCTCTGAAAGGTGAGCGGAATGACCTTGCGAGTTTGGCTGCATGCACTGCCCAAGAGCAGATTATCTCTATTAAAGGGGTAATGAACGTGGCTTTTTCAGCATAAGTGTCCTCTAAGATTTTGCACAGGAAGACTTAATAAGATTTATGTGTCTCAGCAGAGTAAGGCTTTCTTGAACCAATGCTGGTGAACTGCCAGATGTTTAAATATGGCTCCTTTAGCGACCACAAACTATGATACGCAACACAATGATGATCAGCTTGGTCGTGGAGAATATAAGTAACAAATAAGGAGACATTTTTCCTCCTACCCATATCTGGCCCTGCACTTAAAAATATTAATAACACTTCCAGAAGGCCGTGTAGCGAATGGGATGTTTCAAATATATACAAAGGCTCAGTTTGTCCTCTGAAATAATGGGCACCCACTTTGTGAAGCCAAATGCCAGGTCATAATTCTTGCATGTATATGGCGCTTGCTAAAGTGCCTCGGAAACTCCCAAGCGTGCCGCATGGGATGTGTAAATTCAATTAGTTTAACGAGGTGGAGGCGTATTTTATGGATGTTTGTCTTATTCGCATTCTGCACAATGACGCTGACGATTATTCCAACGGCAGCAGCAACCGCAAGATGTACAGCAGCAGCAGCAGCTGACCGGTTCATGAAGCTTCGTCTGGCATCACATACGCTTGATTCTTCAGGGGCTTGGGGATGATGGAGAGCTCGTGGGTTTTGTGTCGATACCTTTTTCAGGCCAGATGTGTATGTTGAACTTCCTTTGCACCGTACGTAGCCAACCGTGCTAATCTGAGGAGCAGGGGAAGGGTGACGAGCTTTGCGCAAAAAAGTAGTTCTAAAGAAATTACTTTGACATCTATATTTAAAGGTGCATGGCTCCTGTGGCTTCCTAGCATTGGAAAGATGAGCGTTCCAGGCGGCCGTAGAAGCACATCTGAACGGGCGTGATGTGCACCGCATTAAAGCGGGGGACCGCTTGTGGCCGGCGTCGTTGGTTCAGCCACACCATGGAATGGGGACTGCGTGGCGAACCCTCGGGTCGCCGTGCGTGCCCGCCCGCCCGCCCACTGCCTCCCACCCCACCACGTGAATCGCTTAGGTGGACTTGGGATCTCTTTGACATTTTAAAAGTAGAGTTTGTGTTTTTGAATGACGTTTCACATAAAACATTGGAGATATAAGTGAAAGGGGTAATCGAGTATCCCCTCGATGCAGCCATTTGGAAACCGCAGTGTGTGTGTACCTGTTTCTGTTATTTGCACAGGTACACAAACACTGCAATTTTAACAAGTAGGTTTTCGCAGCTAATGTGGTTAATCGGTGCTTTTGGGGTAAGGCCAAGTAATGATCTGGCCAAATGAGTGTCATAAGACCCTCCGTCCTGACTTCCTGAGTTGTATTCTGACTTCGTGGATCTTGTCCTGAGGATGCTTGACGCAGTGTCAGGTGACTTAAATAATTGTTCTTTAAGTTACCATTGAGTTGAATCAATAATAAGTGGCGCATTGTTCAAACGCTTGTACATGTGGAAATTTGATTTGTTTCGCTGTGTTGGGTGGTGGAGGGTTTTAACGGCAAAAATGTGGCCAGTCATCACATGGCCTCACCTGAAAAGCAATTATGAGATGAGCTATTCTTTGCACAGGTACATAAACACACTACATTGTATTTAGTAAAGTTGATTAACATTGAATACAATTTATTAGGTAATTTTATAACAGAATTGTTAATGGTCACTTTTAATATGTATATACTATTTTATCATCCAATGAAATAACAGTATAACATGAAGAATAATGCTACAGTGTTGTATATATGCTACTTGAGAAATGTTACACATGGCAGTATACTGCCGCTGTGTGAAGATGACTTGGTGGTCATTTGAAACGTGCAACAAGGGTTGAAGCTTTTGCTAACAAGGCCCAGTGTCAGCGCATTCGCTGCGTGTTGCCGAGCTCCGTGGTTTGAACACGCCAGGCAGCCCTGGTTAACGGTGCGGTGTGTATTACCCATACCACTCTCTGCTATGTGGTTGTTCACAGTGTATGGCGAAGATCCCGTGAGCTCATTCAAGACGAGTTTACCATTGCGTCGCTGGTATCAAATTGGCCCAAGTCGAAACATTACATTGCAAATTATTTAATTGGGATCGCACTCAGCAATAGCGCTGAACGATTTGGGGAAATATCTAATTGCGAATTTTCTGACATTGCGATTTGATTTGCGATTAAAAGTCAAGCTTCAGTTCAGTATTCACTATGTAATAGCTTTAAAACGTGATGGAGCATTACCACATGATACCATCAAAATATAAACTGCTTCTATACATTCTAATGCAAGGATAATAACTTAAAATATACTAATTGCTTCCAACATGTATTTATTTCATGTTTTCATTTAAATAGAACAATTGTTAAATAAATAACGTTATAATAAAAAATAAAACAATTCCAATAAGGAAGTAATATGACTTTTCAAATCGCAGCCTTTGCGATTTGCTAATCGCATTGTTTCAATTTGCCATTTCGATTTGAAATCGATTAATCGTTCAGCCCGACTCGGCAAGTGGCCATCGCTCCCTACTGGCAGACCGCTTGCTGCTGAGTCGCTTTGTGCCGCACAGGAACAGCTGCCACTGGGTGATCTTCAAAAGTTTGAGAAGCAAGCGCGATATAAATACACTTATTATTATCTCCAGGTAATGGCTTCACAAAATGGGTTGTCATTTTATAGGCACAATTGCAGCCTTTTGTATTCTGTACACATACTTAGCCTTGCGCGGGGAGGGTTTTATTTATATGGAGGGAGAGATATCTGAAGGAGGCGAAATTTATTTTGTTATTTATATATTGTTTAATTATTTGATATTTTGCTATTTATTTTGTTATTTATATTTTCCACAACGACGCTCGTGATTACTTTACCTCGTGGACACCGTCTGAATTCACATTCGTCCGTGTAAATCGCCCGAGTAACCTTTACCTCCAATAACATTGGAACGTGGGACACTTTAAGGTTGGTATAATAACGTGGGTTTTTTAATATACAGTAGGGTTTTTTTTATTTTACTGTATAGTGTCAGTATTGTATTGATGGAAAATAAAATAAATCGCAGTTTTCGATTTTAAAAATATATGCTACGTGTGCGTGTGTTCATCCAACGATGCTTAATTGTTTTCACTCAGAAGGCCGTGTGGCTGATGGATGTGAAAAAATAAGAATTGTGTTTTTTTACGTGAATGGACGGATATGGGGAGGCAACAAATTGTCCAACTTTTGTGACTTAAAATATACGGGCATTATACTGGTAGGAACGAAGTTGTAAACTGAGTGTACCAGCCTGCAATAGATTAATGTGTCCGTCCGTCCGTCCCCTTTCAATACTTTAACGAAGTGAAATCTCGTGCTGTTGGGTGTAAAAAAAATTCCAATGTTCCTACCAGCCCACCCTGCAAGGACCTGTTTTGTAAATTACATTTGTCATTTCATGAAGCTTAATGTTTACGGATTTTGACATCCATTGGCTTTAAAAACGCAGTCGCCGCATGATGCATATACACTGTCAGCTGAAGGGTAAATGCGCAGCCATGAAATTCCTCACGCCACTGCTAAATGTAACTATTTTGTTTACCAGGTAAAAGTTCACTGAGCTATTAACTCTTTTTCAGAGCCGACCTTGCCACACATCATCATGCGTGGGAAATTATAGTTGCAGCCAAATAATCTAAGCGCGTGTTTTTTTTTTAATGTGGAGGGAAAAACCGGAGAACACGGAGAAAAATTCACTCGACCAAGGGGAGAGAGACACCACAAACTCCATATATACAAGAGCAGGCGTCAGGGTTGGGATCGAAACCACGACCCTTGTGTACCAGGCGAGGTAGTTAACATCTCATAGCCACCGTGATGATGAGAGAGAGGTGCAAACTCCAAATATACAGGAGTCAGGGTTGAGATCCAACCCACGACCTCCTACATACCAGGCGAGATCGTTAACGTCTCGTAGCCACCGTGATGATGATGATGAGAGAGACGCAAACTCCAAATATACAACAGGCATTCGGATCAGGATCGAACCCACGACCTCTTGTATACAAGGCGAGGGAGTTAACATCTCATAGCCACCGCGGCGCCCACAAGAACAAACCTTCCCACAATGCATTTTGGTAGTAACATTTAATAACGTTTCGTTATTAATATAAATGCGTTTAATCAGGAATGCTTTTGATTAATGATTTGTCTAGTATTCAATCGCTAACTATTCGTTAAATGATTCGCATGCCCATTCGAAAAAACTGGACATCAGACAACATTTTAAAAATGTCATTCTCAACAAGCTTTATGGCATTAAGTGCAGTGTCCAACTAACTCTTCTTAACCACTTTATCCCACGTGGCTCTATCTGCGACGAAGAAGGACAATTGTCCGAAACGTCGCCGATTATACATATATTACTACGTTGTTGACGAGTGTGCTGAGTTTTGTTATTTTCTCAGCACGCATTACGATTTATTTAATTTTGGTTCTTTCGGTAAAGTCACGTAGAAGGGAAACAATAAAATAATTAAAATATTTTTTAAAAATATTGCCGTGGTTTTTACACCTGATGATGATTGCTTGTGTTGCAGTCGAAACGTCATGAGAATTGTATTGTTTAATATTTTTTATTATTTCCCTTCTACGTGACTTTACCGAAGGAACCAAGAATATGAATCCCTGCGGTCACGAAAGCTTTAAATCAAATATTTAATTTTGTTCTGAAAACGGAGGCATCGGGGCCGTGGCGAACCCCACCACTGTGCGGCGTTGCCTCTGTTTACCACGGCGGCTCGGTGTCGTGGTCCACTGCCTTCCACTCAGCGAGCTCTCCTCTCGCTTCTCCGCGCGCTCTCTCGCTGTCCTTCACTCTCCTTCACTCGGGTTGGCGTCGCCGATCTCAGGTTTCGTGTCTAAAGTTCTCTCGGGGGAGAGGAAGGGAGGGAGAGGAAGGGAGGGGGAGCCGGCCGGGATGCCGCGCCGGGAGGTGAGACGAGAGACCGGGGCCGTGGAGGAGCGCAGATACGGTGAGGCCTGGGCAAGGCTTCACCCGTTCCCGCATTCATTCCCCTCGTGTCGTGCTCCCTCATCACCCGCGCACAGTCACTCGGACATTCATTCATTCTCCTCATGCGCCCTCATTCACCCGCGCACAGTCACTCGCACATTCATTCATTCTCCTTATCGCCCTCATTCACCCGCGCACAGTCATTCGTTCAAGCCTGACTGCTGATGAGACATTGATTCCCAAAACTGGTCCAGAGTTTGGGTTGTATGTTGAACTTGTTTCGCATGTCCGTCGCCAATCGCGCTAATCACGAGGTGGCGGGCAAACCAACGCTGCTGTAATGATGCACTCCCCCAGAACGCCGTGTGGCTGATGGGATGTGTAAAAACAAAAAGTTTAACATTTATGTGAAAGGACAAGTGTGTGTGTGTGAAGGAGGCGACTCAACTACTTGTTTATGCGCTGTGGTGGTTCATGTATATTTTTTTCTTGCTAGGGTTACGCGCAAGGAAAGCGGTGGTGACCCCGAGTATCGGCAGCAGCCTCTTATCGCTGGAGGAGCGCGACGAGGAGGATGAGGAGAGCGAGGAGTGGAAAGAGGAGAACGGCACCGATGAGCGCTACCTGCAAATCCTGAGCAGCGGCGCTACCCCCATTCATGGTAACTCAGCGAGGTTTTGTTCACTCGATTTGATGTCCTGCGCTCCAAAGCACGCTGCGCTGTTTATACAATAAACCGCTAAAGCCCTCATCCTAAAAGGCAACCATCCCAGTGACAAATCGCTCATCTTTATATTTGATATAAAACCAATCTCTGCCTCGGACGTTGCTGGCACGAAAGACCTCATCCTTGAATGGTGCTAGTAATCATCTTACGTTTGCCCTTCAATGTGTGGCAAACCTCTTTGCTGAACCCATCTCCCCTATAATTCGAACCTCTCCACCGACTGATTAATTATCGATCTCATACTTCCGATCAAAATCTTGGAAAGGCTACTCAAAATACAAATTACTGACAAAAGAATAACCTGCTCCATCCCAAATAATCAGGTTTTATTAAAAAAAAGTTCAGCACAACCTTGGCGGTGCTAGATTCTTGATTTTCTTGGCCGATCAAATAAATACACTTTGCATTCCGAAACTAAAACTTGTTACTTTGTTGTTATTTTACCAGGTAATGCCCACAGAGCTATGTCGCTCTTTTTCAGAAGCGACCTGGCTAACACAAATGATAGCCCGATGAAGTGGCTTATGTTGACATTTATTGCAGCCAAATACTCTATACACGGATTACAATTGGATATTGTTAAAGCCGCTATACTCTCCATCTTCGACTATTGTCTTATTTATAGACTTAATGTAGGCTTTGCGCGAACATGAAATTAACGGGTTCCTTTGAGCCACTCCACACCTAATTTTTCCCTCTGCACGCTACAGAACCCATCACTGTAAACTTCATTTAAACTCTTATCAGCGAACCCCCCACCTCCTGATCTACACAGGAAATGGTGTTGGGCTATCTTCACCCTCAAAAGTGTTTCAAAATAAGTCTGCCAAATATATTCTGGATCATTTAATCCCTCAGGTAAATTCCCATATACTTAGAAGCTCCTCCCTCTCCCTACTCAAAAGTCCCCTCCCCCCCCATGTGAGAACCAAACTTGGCTTATATTCATTTGGTGTAGCGGCACCTCCTAGTCTCTGGAATAACCGAACAAAAATGTTTGGGATCGCATCTTTCCCACCCTTGTCCTCCTTGAAATAACTTTTGGACCTCAGATTTCCATTAACATGTATGTGCTTTGCGGCATTTAAGTTATCAATTACTGTTTGTATGTGATGTGTTCTACTAGCCTTGTATGTTTTGTGCTGGTTGTACCACATGTTGATGCATGATGTTGCCATTTGGAACTTGACCACGTACAGTTGTTTGTTCACAGTTATTGCCAATGGGTTTTAGCTGTGCCAAGATAATTCAAACTAAGCCAAGAAATTTGTTTATAACTGTTATCTATTACAACTATGATAGTTGCTGTATTATGTTGAATTTCTTTTGCACCGTATGTAACCAACCATGCTAATCAGAGGTCCTGTTTGATACTGAACGTTTGGTGTTTTGGCCCTTGGGTGTGCCCAGTAAATATGTAGCGACATCGGGGATTCATCTTCTTGGTTCTTTCGGTAAAGTCACGTAGAATGGAAACAAAGTAATAAAAATAAAACAAAATAAAATAATATAAAATTCTCACGACGTTTCGGCCACAACACAAGTAGCCTTCTTCAGGTGAAGGAACAGAACTGTCGGGACGACAGCGCTTTAATGAATGCTGCTAAGATTCGTAGTGTCTTTTAAGCTAGGTGAGAGAAGTGAAGTGCCTTGACAAAGGAGTTTACATATCAAACAGGAGAATTTAGCATTGAAATAGCTGAGGGATTAGTTTGTGACTGGTCACAGAAATAGCTATGTTTAAGTCAAAGTTTACATATCAACAGAGGCATTTAGTATATGGACGCTAAAGGGCTGCAACTACCCAACTATCATACAGTAAACGGATGTGAAAAAACTAAGCATAAATTACATCAATATAATAAATGTACTCAATATATTATTCAATAAGCTGAGCTATTAACACAGAGCAACTGGGTATACACTACACTATATAATGAATACCATATAGTAAACCAATAAAAAACTAAAATATAAACTACCTCAATGTTATCAATAAACTCTATATACTCTCCAATCAGCTGAGCCACCAACAATAAGTCGTTATATATCACAATGCCATATGGCGAAAAAATGGGTGGCGGTTTCTCCCCTCAACGCCAGCACCACGGACAGCGACGAGCCCCATTCAGACCATACCATTAACTGTGGTGTGAGAGGTATTAAGAGGCAATGCCAGCGAAAGAGCTGCGGTCTGAAGGTCACCGTAAAATACAATTAATTAAGAACCAAAATGGTTTAAAACATCTTTCCAATGGTTACTAAGCCAGAGTCCATCTTCTCGGTTGAAATTGTCTCTGTGCTTGTATATGTGGATGGCCTCATGAACGAATCTCTCATGGTAGCCGGTTGGCTTGCAAAGAACCTCCGTCTTGGAGAAGTCAATGTCATGTCAGCCCACTGAATTATAACAGTGATCTGCCACGGCAGAGGAGTTCGTCCTACCATGTTTCAAGTCTGCTTTATATTCGCGGATGCGGTCCGCGATATGTCGTTTGGTTTCTCCAATGTAGCTGCTACCACAGAGGCACTTTAGTTTGTAAACGCCCGGGTACTGTATGTCTGGAACAGCATCTTTTACAGATGGAACCAGATCACGGATTTTATGTACTGTGTTGAATCGGACCTGGATCTTGTGTTTATTCAGGATTTTGGAGATCTTTTTAGTGACCCCTGCAATGTAGGGTAAGGTGATGGTTTTGAGTGGCTCCTCAAGAGGATCCTTCTTCATGACTGGAGTGATGGCTTTGCGGATTGTGTAGTCGGAGTAACCATTAGCCCTGAAAGCCTGGTGTACGTGCTTGAGTTCACTGGCAATGTGTTCCTGGTCGGAAATGCATTGGGCTCTATGGTATAGAGTCTTCATGAGGGAGTTCTTCTGGGATGGATGGTGGTGGGAATCCGGTTTCAAGTAAGCATCTGTATGGGTAGCTTTCCTGTAGACAGAGTGGCTCATTGAACCATCAGGTCTCCTTTTAATTAAGACATCCAAAAAGGGTAGCTTGCCATCTTTTTCGACCTCCATGGTAAATCTGATGGCTGGGTGTATGAAATTGATGTGGTCGAGGAATTGGTCTAGAGCAGGCTGGCCATGTGGCCAGATGACAAAAGTGTCATCCACGTACCTCTTCCATAAGTTCTGGCGTAGAGTGGCAGTTTGGATGGCGTCAGTTTCAAATTTTTCCATGAATACGTTGGCTGCAACCGGAGACAGGAGGGAGCCCATTGGGATGCCCTCAGTCCATACAGTGACATCAGGGATGTCACTGCATGGTGCCGGCCCGAGAGGGCCGTGGCGTGCGATGTCCCTACATCGCGGGCAGCACCGGGTGGGTTGCTGTGTTAGGCCGGCTCTAGCACAGCACGGCGTGTGATGCACTGTCATCGCGTACACCCTGTAGGCGGGTGTAGTACCAGCCCTAGCCGGGCTTGGTGAGCGCTGGGATAGCGCGGGCACCACGCATAGCGTGTAGTGCGGGCTCCCACCAGGGGGAGTGGGAGAGTGTCAGCCCAGGGGCAGGGTTGCCACAGGCCATGGCACTCTGGTTGACCCCGAAGACACGTGATCCGGAGTGTCCACAGAGAGGGCCTCAGGTGGGGGGCCTTTGGGGTGATCACGTTGTCCGGGGAGAGCTCTTGAGAGTGATCGGGTGGTAGCTAGAATGCTCGTGAAGGCGGGTGGGGCCAAGGGCGGAGTGGCCCCGACCCGGGAGGATATAAGGTGGGTTCCTGAGAGGGACCGGGGTCGCTGCATTCTACAAGCTGGAAGCTCCACGTCTTCAAGCTGGAAGCTCTACGTCCTACGAGGCATCAACACGTGGTCGAGGACCCGAGTGAGGGTCTGACCCTTCGTAGCTGTAACTCCAACGTATAGAGTAGTTAGCTGGGTGGTCACCACCCTAGGCTGTGTCTGGTGAAGAGGCAGCTACCCCTTTGTGTTAACGGGTATATGTTACAATAAATGTGTTGCCTCTAAAGAACAACATCTGCGTCTCAGTTGGACTCGCTACAAATATGTAAAGCAAGAGGAACGTTTGATGTTTGGTGTTGGCCCTTAAAGTGACGTTCTTCTACAGGGTAACGCAGCCTCTCGTGAGCTTCTCACCATAGTGTGTTCCCCCCCCCCCCCCCCCAGGGCCTAAGGAAGTGCCGATGCTGTTGGGAACATTCGCATTTAAAACACCCAGCAGAAAGAACAAGCTTGCAGAAGTCGGTGAGTACCTCCTCATGGCCGTGAAGTCTGCTTGCATCCTAGACGTTTCTTATATGTGCAGCAAACTTACAGGAACGTTCATACCGATAAACACAACAATGCATTTTTTTAAACTGAGAAATGAAGGGAGCTGCCACCGTGGTGTGGCGGTTAGCAACGCACTGGGCTTGGAATCCAGCGGTCGCCGATTTTGATTCCATCTCACGGAGCGACAGGTTTAACAATGACGCAAATAGCCCTTACATTCCTACACCCCACCACCTCTAGTCACCACCATAGTTTGTGGACAGGCAGGTCCCATGTGGTCAGGTAAAGTATGGGTACACCCACATCTTCCAAGACGTCCGGTAAGTAAGTTTTTTCGAATTTGGTAAAAACTCAATATTTCAAGAGCCGCAACGCATGTTAGTATGAGACCGTGGTCCTTAATATATAACGTAAAAAAACAGTCCTTACAGCCGCGCGCGGCTCCGGAGCCACAGTTTGCCGACTCCTGCTCTAATGGAAGCCCTTCTACCAGCAGTGGTGTGAGCGTGTAAGCAATTGCAGTGCTGCACCTCTACCTTGCAGTTGAAAAATGAGGGCGAATGTAACCAAGCGGTGTGGTTTGTCTGATCACGCGCACGCTAGTGCCTGTGTTCAGCCTGACATGCTTTACCAACCCTTTCAGGCTTAGCTGCGGCAACACAACAATAAAACCAGCAACTCACCTAAGTACTACTACTAAACTAAACTTTTTTTTTTACCAGGTAAGGCCCACTATATCGCTCTGTTTCAGAAGTGACCTGGTCACAAATGATAGCTCAGCGAAGTGGCCTATCACGTGCACATTTATAACAGCCAAATGCTCGAAACACATTTCTAAATGTGGAGGGAAAAACCAGAGGACCCGGAGAAATATCCATGCGATCACGGGGAGAACATGCAAACTTCGAATTTACAGTCTTCAGGGTCGGGATAGAACCCACGACCCCTGCATTCCAGGCAAGGTAGTTAACGTCTGGCTACACAGTTGTGGGTTGATTCAGCCCATCATCCTTCCGGTGTCAATGAAATGAATACCACTTGCTAATGAAATCAACAGTCCTGTGGATAGACTCGCCGCCACCATTTGAATGATAAATTTTCACCACAGGCTCAGGGCTGTAAAATAGGAGATGATCGCCAATGCATCATATTGTCATTTGATTAGGAAATGTCCGCTCCAGGCCGGTTGGTGCTTAAGTTACCTTGTACCGCACGGGGACAGCTGATACTGAGGATGCCCTCTAAATACTTGAGATGAGGTGATTTAACACGGTTTTCGTAGCCAATATTACAATTCATCATTGATGGATAGATTTGATAAAATAATTACCAAAATTTTGGTTTTGAAAATTGTTCTTCAACTTACTGTTGCGAGATGATGTAATATTTAAAATCTTCCACGTGTGACAGTTTCGTTTGTTTGGGTGGTGACGGGTTACACGGCAAAACATTTCCAGATCATTGTGGCCTAACCCAAAAATCTATTATGAATTGTGAGATGTAGTGCAAGGCAGCGAAGTTGCTGAGGCACTAGCAAGTTCCGTATTGTTATCGTCATTATCACAGGCACTCTTCGTTAATTGTAAACGCGCCCGCGGTGTTCTCCGTCCTTGTTGCATCTCTCAGCTACAGAACTGGCCAGGACACCCCAGAGTGGCACTTCCCTTCACCGGGCTCCTGCTGAGAAACCCACTCGCGCCCAGCGGTCGCCAGGTGGGGAACCACGAACAACACAGACAACGGCAGCAGCCATGGAGGAAGTGTCTGGGTTGGCCCCGAGACCACGTCCTATCCCGGAATGATCACTCGCGTCAATGTGGGGGCAACAAAATAACCAGGATTTGAACTCGTGACCTTCCGCATGAAAGCCACTTGCTTTACTGATGAGCCACCGGAGGGACCACGGCAAATGCTCCCTCTAGCATGGTAGCAGTGAAATTAAGTAAGTTCCACTTTCAACTTTACAGCTACAAATGCGAGTTGATTAACAAGTCTAATTGGTTTAAACTGGGAACCAAATTCCTTTTGGGAAATTTTCATTGTGGAGCAAAATATTTCAATTGGGTTCAGTTTTCGGTTCAAGAAAATCTAAAGATGTTTTTTTTGGTTTTCTGACTTCGATTTTTGGCTGGGTTCAATTCTTTCACTGCTGCCACCCCCGAGTGTGGCTCAGTGGAAAATCGATGCCTTCCAAAGGCAACTCTCTAACACGCAATATCGCAGAGTGGCTGTGAGGTTTACAACTCGCCACCACTTCATGTGTGCACCGTCTGTCTTCATGAATAATATGGACGCTCACTACATACGTTTTCGCAGCCAGTGTTACGATTCGTTGTTAGATTTTTTGGGTTGGGCCGCGTAATAATCTTCCAAAACTTGTGTCGTAAGTCCCTCCACCACCCAACATAGCCAGACAAATTAAATTGCCACGTGTGCAAGTGTACGATACGCCATTTATTATTGTTGGTGCAGCTCACCTGTAAGTGGAAGAACAAATCTGACAAACAAATTAATTACGTCTTGATTTGAAGCTTTCGTGACTGCAAGAATCCATACCCTTTGGTTCTTTCGGTAAAGTCACGTAGGTAGAAAAAATAATAGACCACGACATTTCGATCGCAACACAAGCAAATGTCCTCTTTTTCACCTGAAGACGATTGCTTGCGTTGCGATCGAAACGTCGTGATCTGTTATTTTTTTTACATACGTGACTTTACCGAAAGAACCAAAGAGTTAATTTATTATGGTAATTACAGAATAAGGATATTTTTAGTGGAGGAATCCGATGAGCTATAAAGCTTTTTTTTTTCAGATGTCCAATAGAGGCACGGGGTCAGAAAGTTACAACAACAAACAATACAAAACACGATAGGAGTGCAAAGTGTAGGAAAGGTAAGCAAATCACTACAAAAATTACACCTGCAGTAATAATATATACGTGCAAATTTAGCAGCAATTAGATTAGCGATGTTTCGCTTGAAATTGCATCAAGCATCTTCAGGTCATGGAAGCAGGAAGTCAGAATAACTTCGTCACCTGCCCTCGCCTCTTAAATAGTTGTCATGAAGTTGCAGGAACAACCAATCAGATTTAAACGTGAAATTTACCATTAAAGATTAATGCATTATTACGTAATTCGATTTTATTAGGACCATTGGTTAACATTATATGCATGATTCATAACTCATTAATATATTATCCTGTTTGAAAGTGGATTTAATCACCTACATTTGACTTTTGCTACGTGGCCTAACCCAAAATTACATCATGAATACTATGGATACTGCAAATATTTTTGCTTGTCATTAATGTTGTTTAATGTCATTGGCATTGTCTAATCGCTGTTTGTGCAATATTTCAGCTCTTCACCGCAAGCCAAAGGTGAGAGTTTTCAGTTTATCACCGAATGAGTGACATAAGCCACATTAACATATGCCGGCAGTCACAACTTATTTTATTGAAGTTGAAACTCATCAACCACACACACTGACTCACCAACTCACCCACTAACCCTCTCACCACTCTGCTGGGCATGACTCCCGTCTCTGCGTCTTCCCTCTGACTGCTTCACTTTGGCATTACCCTCCCATCCTCTCTTTTCCCAATTCTAAAAACGCATTATCTTTTATCTGTTACAATTGTAATTAGTGCTGTTTGTTTCTGGCTATTTAACATTTTTGCCTTTAACTGTGTTTATACAAAAACTGTTTATATTGAAAAAAAATCCCTCTGAGTGTCACTCCAATGTCTGTCTCTCTGTAACCTGCTTCTCCCTCTTCCCTGTAGACGTGTCCCATCCATCACAGCCTCCTTCCTGATTAAAACTGCAAAACTCTCCTGCAATGCCTTCTTGGTCTGAACCTCCAAGTTGCTTACCCTGCCCTGCCATTAGATGAGTGAGTGGCTCGCAATCTAAAGGTTGCGAGTTAAAATTACGTTTGTGGGTGGCGGTGGTGGGGTGTGCCTGATTTAGCCCATTATCCGTTTGTAGCGGCTCACACAAAATGGTGGAAGTTGAGGGCCGGGGTGAGGGTGACTTCACGGCTGTCTGCTGCTTCCGTATTGCGTTTGCATGACTAATGGAGAGGGGAGGGTGGGAGGTAGGGCGTGTGGGGGCTTGGGGTTCTTTCCTGTACTGTAATTCAGAAAACACCGTGGCACGCCTGGGAGTTTTATCGCAGCACGCTAGTGTTCTGCCACCCACCGTTTGCGGGGATGGTCGCCAACCAAAACAACAAGAAGAGCCATTTTTTCGAATTTGGTGAAAAAACCTGTATTTCAAGAGGCACAATGCATGTCAATACTAGACGGTGGTCAGAAATAAATTATGTCACGAAGTAGTTCTGAAAGAGCCACATGCCCGCTCCGGAGCTGCAGGTTGCCAACCCTTGATACTAGAGCAAGGCCAGTTCAAATCCAGGTTAGGGCATGACTCAGCCCAACATCTCTTTGGGGTCAATAAAATGGGTACCCGTGTGTGGGGAAGTCAACAGTGGTTGTTCGATAGACAGACTCAACCACCACTGGCTCAGGGGTGTAAACAGGAGATGAGCACCAATGAATGCGTCAATGCACATTTGAGCAGGAAATCACTTTGAACTCTATTTTTACTAACCACAATTTCGGCGCACATAGCCTCATACAATACATGGTGAGCATGACCTACGGTGTTTTACTATGGCTTTCTGACTCGCTGTGAAAGTGATGGTGTTATCTTTTTTAACGCTGCGTTAAAGTCCTGGAGCGTATATTCACGTTGTTAGATTTCATCTCCCTTTGAATCCTGTTTTGTTTATTTATTACTTTTATGCAACAGCATGCAAACTTTTGTCTGTGTAGCTCGAGTGTCGGAGGAGAACAGAGTGAGCACTGTGTCTTGTTGTGTGTCCTGCCCGTTTGACAGAAAGCATCTCTACATGGCGTAGCCTCAACGCCGTATCGTTTACGCAAGAGACTGAAAGGTTAGAGAAGCCATCAATGCAAAGCAGTCTGGAGTAATTGATGATCCAGTTCTCACGGATTCACTTGCTCGCCTGTGGTCAATCACCTCCTTATCACTGTTCTATCGCTACTACAGTAGTTACTGTTCCCGTGAACCTTCACTTGTTGATTTCTCCACGCATGTAGAGGACTCGGTCGAACAGACACTGTTCCGTCTCATCCACCACTGTGTTCACCACACTGCAGGTCAAAACAATACACTTACCCAGTTGCTTGCTCAACCACTCACTCACCCTTACTCCGACTCACCACACTGCAGGTAACACCAACACACTCACCACACACCCACCCAACCACTCATTCACCCACCAACCCACTCACCATACTGCAGGTCACAACACTTATCTTTCTGCTTCTTTCTTTGCACTGCTGCACTTTGAAATCCCCGAACGTTCGTCTATTTCCCCCCAAGCTCTTCTCTTACAACAATATGCTTACAACTTATATATTTTATCTATTTTATGTATTACTTTTTTGTGATTTGCTTACCCTTATACTTTACTGTCGTTTTTTGTATTGTTTTTGTAACTTTCTGACTCGCCCCTAATGGACATCTGTGAAAGAGTTTCAAAGTTCAGCGGATTTCTCCACGATAAATAAAGATTCTGAAAATAACCTTGCTCAATTCAACAAACGTGTTAACTCTTAGCTACTACAACTGTATTTGTGCTGTTTATCGGTGGCTGCTTGGTGTTTTTGGCATTTGGGCTTGTGTTCAGCAACGGTATTTAAAAACAACTAGTTCATGCAGCAGCTGCACTGATGATGCGTGTGTGTCTGTCACTTAATTTAAAACTGGACTAATCTTATAAGACTGCATTGAATGGTAAAACAGCCAATGGATGCAGTGATCATGTTTACCCATTACATTGATCGTGAAATAATTTGTACACGTGACATTCGGTGCATGTATTGTGAGCTTTACAATCATAGATACATATATTTTGCATTTATATAACGTTTGCTGAAATGCCTCAGCAACTTAAATCGCATCTCATCTCAAACATTCGACGGGCACCCCCCGTGGCAGCTGTCCCTTGGCGGCACAAGGTGACTTGGCACCTGGCCTGCCAGTGGGCATTATTCTCCCAGTAGGGGGCGATGATTGCTGCTGTGTACGTGATCCCAAATGAGTAATTTGCAGTGTAATGTTTAAAATTCAGCACACAAAAGGTCGACTCGTTTCGAATGACGTCACGGGATATTTGAAGTGCACGGCACATGGTATTTCAATGTTCGTACTGCAGTATTAACCAGGGTGGTCTGCAGGAAATTAATCGCGACCTCTGCTCCAAAGGCGAATGCGCTAACCGTCGCGTCATGTCACTGACCCAAACCGGTTATAATGCCTCTTGGCGTTTTGGATCTTTGGCTGTGTGCTGCACAATTATGTGTGCGCACGTGTGCATATAATTAAATAAATAGATTCGTTAAAATCACTGCATGGATTACTTCATGTGCACAAGTGTGAGCGCAGAAGCCGGTATATCCGGTGTGGCCAACCTGTAACAGACCAAGAGCCACAAGTACCCATGAGTTCTGCAGAGCCAAATGTATATTTAATATATCATACAACCTATCATACAACTTTAATTTATTATTCTTTGCTCCTGAGATAGTATGTTCTACATGATACCCCTTCGATCGAGCTACATGTGGATTAAAGAGCCGCGTACGGCTCAGGGAGACGCCAGTTGGCCACCGCTGCCCTATGTAAATACTCGTGAATGGAGTTGGCCACCGCTGCCCTATATAAATACTCGCGAATGGAGTTGGCCACCGCAGCCCTATATAAATACTCGTGAATGGAGTTGGCCACCGCTGCCCTATATATAAATACTCGTGAATGGAGTTGGCCGAAGATCCCAATGTAGGACCAGCAAGTCTTGGCGATTCTTGGTGGCGCCGGCTGCCTTCCCACTTGTCTGTGGTTTCCTGCGCATTAACAAAGTTAACGTTGTCATTGAGCATAACCACCAATGTTAGATGATTAAATAATTGACAGAGGTTGGCTTCGTGGATAATAATGATATAATTACGTATGATCCATGAGTGAATAGGCTTTCTAGACCAATTCATTATATTTGTCACAATCGACTTAGTGTATAATTACTTTTTGCGAGCCTGTGAATGTCTGTGTCTTTTTTGTCTGTGATTCTGAGGGTCTCTGTGATTCTGCGAGTCTGACTCTGTGTGATCTTTTGGGTCTCATTAAAAATGTTGCATAATTACGTTTAATATTATTAATTGATGATTGGTTGTTTCTTTGGAACAGAGGTTCAGTCAGACAGTGAGAGCGAGCTGTCCGAGTCTGTGTCGGAGGAGGAAGATTCGCACAGCGAGGAGGAGACCGTGAAAAGCAGAGGAGCGGAGGGCAACAGAACCCACAAGTTGACTCCAGCGAGAGAGAGAGGCAAACGAGGAGCTCGCATCACTGTGAGTGACTTGGATACCCATACACACAGACCCACAGACTTGCACAGACTGACACAGAGACCCAAAGACTTGCACAGATATCCACAGACTGACACAGAGACTCACAAAAACCTATATTGGATCTTCTGTTGTATGTTGAACTTATTTTGAACTTTTTATCAAAGTTCCTCAAACATGCGGTAGCAGTGTACTTGTAAAAGATTTAACTACCAATTACATGGAGCCCTTACAATCTGTTTTTAGACTGGCGCACAGTACTGAAACGGCTGTGGGCCAGGTGGTAAAGAATCTTCCGATGGCCACTGGCTCTGACACACTTAGCATCCTTATTTAGACGGATCACAGTGCCACCTTTGATACGAGATCCTTTTGAACCGCTGCGAAAATAACATTGGCATAACTGAAAAGGCGCTCTTCCGGTTTCAGTGTTCCATCCTGTTCTATCATACCTCTTCTGGCTTCTGTTCATCGGTTCCCGCTGAAGCTTATAATCGACCATAAGATCTTGTTGCTAACCTGTAAAGCACTGAAGGGCCGAGCACCCACCTACCTTAGGGATCTATTCCATCCCAATATTCCATCTCTGAATCTTTGTTCCACGTACTCAGTTTTCTGTGCAACATAAGACGAAACTCCTCTCCAGGGCGACTGGGCCTTTAGCTGTGTGGCTCCCCCCCCCCCTCACTTGTGGAACGCCCTCCTCTGCCATATCCATGACTCGGGCGCGATCAATATTTTTAAGCCACGACTGTGAAGCAATTATAACTGAGATGAACTAGAAATTCAGTGTGGTGTATTACAAGTGAAGAGGAGTTGGAGAATGGTTCAAGCACTTCTTTATTTCTCCAACGCACAGCAACACTCGTTCCAAAACCAACCCCGAACACACGTCCCACAGCCACTTTTAACCCCTCCATCTCCGCCCTCGCTCCCAATACACATTCACGTCGGGCACGCCTGGTCCGGGTGACGTCACTGCCCTTTAACCCCTGACCCCTGTCCAGCGCCTTCCCGCGCATGTGATTGGTGCATGTTATAGTGAGAGCGGAGATGTCGTGTCTGTGTGGTGCGTGTCTGTGAGGGTGGCTCGCAGATCCCTTACACAAGTATAGAAGTGTAGTTGGTTCAATTGAGGTGCACACTCAACTTGGAGGCAACACTATTTATTAACACATAACAACCAACGTGAACACTATACATAAGGTGGTGACCACCCTTCCTAATCTCACTAACACTCGGGGAGGGGATACTACATAACGTCATCAGGGCAGGTTAGCGGGCTGCCTGGTCACGGACGAAGGTCGGAGCCTGGAGGACTGTTGATGGCGTCTTCATCTCAGGGTTGAACCGCCCAGCTCTCTATCCACACCCCGCTTATAACTCCCGTGGCATGGCCGGCTCCACCCCAGGCGACGCCCCCCTTCTCGATCCTTCGGGAAGGTACGGGCCCCCAACCACGTGACCCCCAAGCTCCCCCCTAGCCCCTCCTTTATCCGGTCACGTGTCCTGTTGGGTTCACACAGAGTGTCACGGCCTGACATGACCTCCGTGACACCCGCCTACAACACCCATACCGAGCCAACACAGTAGTGACGTCATATGTCCCTACGCTCGTACAGTCCCGACACAGTAGTGATGTCGTATGTCACTACACAAGCAAGCAGTGTTTAATCGTTTACTGATGCAGTGACTTTCTATCGCCACCTTGTCCAAGTGAAAGCATACTCACAGGTTATAAGAAATATCATGAGCATAATCAGCTCGGATTTAGAATTACCCAGCTATCAGTTTAAAATAGTGACGCTTGTAGTTGAATTAAGTATCCGTACAAAAATTACTGCTAATTTCAAATGAAAATATCTAAGCAGTCGTTACGCATAATTTACATCTGTCTTGCCACGTTAAAATATCAAAGTATTTTTACACATACCATCAGCCACACGCCCTTTTAAATGGAGCATGTTTGTCTGACAATGCTAAATTTGTAAAGGAGTTGTTGACATCTTCTTTGGTTCTTTCGGTAAAGTCATGTAGAATGAGAATAAAATAATAAATTGATAAAATAAAATAACACAATAATATTCTCTTGACAATGTGATGGAATTGAGATCTGAACGTTTCTGTGGCTTTTTTATTTCCCCATCCCCCCTGCCACCCCTCCCCTTCCCCGACCACCAGATTCCCTATTACCCACCTCCAACCCCCACCATCCACCCCCATCCCCTACCACCCATCCCCTAACACCACATCCCCTATTACCCACTCTCCTACCCCTTCTTCCCCCACCACCACTTAAATTTTGCTGTAAGCACATTTAATTAACTTTAACTACATATTAGCACACAGACACTGGAACATAAATTGGTTCATTTTATTATGCAATATATATTTCAGGTGACATTTGAACCTTATGGCGGGACCCCGGGGTCCCGAATAAACGGAAGTCAAAATCGTAATTAATTTATTTATTTTTGGCGACTCCGTCCAACCGCGCACATAAACGCCGTGACCCACCTGGCGCGGATCATTCTGTTTTCATGTCGTCCAAGCTCAACTAGGACGAATGCGCAGAAGAGCTGAACAAGCGAATGCACTCCATGCTCGGGTATGGGCAGGTCATAAGTCTTAGCCAAAGCTGCTCAAACTGCCTACACGACTTAAGTCCTTTAATTGTCATAACTGTATGCATGATACAGTGAAACTGCTCTCTTATCTTCATTATTATTTGTGACCTACCAATGTCTGCAGCCAGGATCAATCGATGGCAATCCTATTACCTGCAGATATGTAACAGATGAGATGCGTTGCACCTAGGCCTCGGCAAGGTAAGGTAATTTACCTTTTTTACCGGGTAAAAGGGTAAAGGTAAAGGTGTCGACATGCCAAGGGGTAAGGTAAACGGTAGGGTAAAGGTAGCTCGGAAGAATTACCCGGTAGAGTAAAGGTAGCGTGAAGTATTACCCGGTAAATACGGTACCTTGTTTACCGCTAAAAGCTCCGTGGCGCAGTCCGTGGCCTCCATTTAATAAGTAATATTTTTAAAAAACTTTTTTTTAAAACACGCTTTAATGAAATGTACTCGTAATAGCAGAACTCCACGACTCCAGGAAGTGGCCCCGAAGCTTGCCATAACGTAAGGGACCGTGCCCAATTACAGCCAACATCAGTTGAGCATGGACAAATAGACCCTAGCCGAAACATAACATATAAAAAAGATCGCTTAAAAATATATATTTTTAATGATAGAATATAGTATTGTCATCAGTATGACATAAGTATACCAAGTTTGCAGTTGATACCACATTGGAAAGTGGGTTAAAATTGAGTTACAAGATTTGAAGATACAACAACAACAGAGTGAGTTAAAATAAAACATGTAAAATTGGAATAGTCGAGAGTATTCTATATGAATAAAGCGCTCTACCTAGCATTTACCTGTTACAAACCTTTTTCATGTGTAGTACCCCAGTAATTACCCTGTAATCAGGTAATTTGTATGGGGTAAGGGTAATAGGAAGGGTAAAGGTAGGCTCGTTGCTTTTTACCTTACCTGCTAAAGGGTAAAAGGTAGGGTAGAGTGATTGTATTGTGGTAAGGTAAAAGGTAGGGTAAAGGTAGGCTCGTTGTTTTTACCTGTTACCTTTTACCTTACCTTGCCGAGGCCTAGTTGCACCGTTAATTCCTCCTGTTTGATAATACTTCTCTTGTCCGTATGCATCTGTGCAGATGGATTTTTTTTGCGGTTATGCCATAGTCCCCACATACCGCTCATATCAATGCAGATAAGAGGAGCGGCGACCCACTACTCTGTAGAGTAACATTGGTATAAACGCTTGTTACAATATGAACAGCGCATTGTTTAAAAAAATGTGTTCACAAATCCACGCTGAGGAATATGATGATTGACAGAGGGCTTGTAAATTATTTTTTCAATAGTGTAAATAGAGGTACTGCAGGTAAGTAGTTTTCAGTTTTAAAGGCATAGTTTAACAAGACAACACTTGCCACCATCCTTCAAACCCATTTGTGAAAAAGAGAAAAGTTTTTGTTTACATTATAATATAATCTTGACTTAAAGCTTTCGTGACTGCAGGAATTCATTTTCTTTGGGTCTTTCGGTAAAGTCACGTAGATATAAAAAATAATAACAATAAAATAATACAAAAAATCACTTAATTTTTTATGGTTATTCTTTTTTTTATCTACGTGACTTTACGGAAAGACCCAAAGAATATTATAATATAATGTAATGTTCATGCTAGAGCTGGGGGCTTATGGGACCCTGGGGTCCCGTCATAAGGTTAATTTAAAAAAGTATTAAAATCATTATTTAGTGTTTTCATTTTTTTCGTACATTTTAAAATGATTATTTTTTATTTTTAGCTGACCTCGTCTGGCCAAGTGTTAATTCTGGCCATCTGAGGGTCCACCTATCTGGGGTTTTTCTGTGTTGTCACTTGCAGAAAGAAGTGGTGGAAGATTACTTTGACGCCCACAAAACCTCGAAGGTCATCACTTCTGACCGCACATTGTCCAAGCTACAGTCTCCACGCCTTGACCAGGTGAGTTTACGTGCTAGGGTTGTGTGTCCATCTGTGTTACCATACGGTTCAGAAACCCGGACTCTGACAGACGACGCCGCACGGCCAAATGTTGTTGGCATTTGAGCTCATGTGTCTGTAACGAATGCTGGAAATTTTTGTTGCCAGACTTAAAATTTCGTAGCCAGAACAAAGACGGTCACTGCATCGCACGTTTTCAGATGTGCTTCTGCGGCCGTCTGGAACGCTCTTCAGATATTAGGAAGCCACTGGAGCTGTGCACTTTTAAATCATCTAGATTTAAAACTTTTTTCTTTAGAACTGCTTTTTGTGTTTAGTTTGTTGTCCTTCCACTGCACCCCCAATAAACATAGTGGGCTACGTACGGTACGAAAGAAGTTCAGCATAAAATGCATATGTCCGGAAGAGAATGTGGCAGGTGAGCATTGTAGATACCACAGTGGTGCTGGGTGGGACGTGTGTGCCAGATGGAGGGCTGATTGCCGAGACCGGCATGGCAGCGATCTCCATGAGTCTGGTGACAAAAGGGAAGAGAGGACCTAAGAGTGGATGGTGGAAGGGAGCTTATTAGAGCTTTTTGAAAACGAATTTTCTTTAGTACTGCTTTTTGTGTTTAGTTTGTTGTCCTTCCCCCCGCACCTCTGATTAGTGCGGTTGGCTACGTATGGTGCGAACGAAGTTCAACATACTGTACATACGATGCGAGATGTTGGAAGTGGCTGCACGTTGACTGTGCAGCAGCTGCTGCTGCGAGACTGGGTGACGTGTGTGACGGTAGTGTCGGCGGCAGCAGTAGCAGCAGCGTCGTGATACCGTTGGTACTGTGCGCCGTGCAGGAAACCCTCGGCCGCCTGCTCAGAGCTGTGCAGCTGCCGTTCCGCAAGGAACGCAAGCAGCTGGAGCAGGAGTACCGAGGCCTCTTCGCAAAGTGGATGACGCAGCTCAGGTCGGGACGTTCGCCCCTTGCACTCTTTTTTTACAACTCAAAGCACCGATCATAGAACTGAGGGGGGACAAAAGTTACGTGACCAACAGCCCCGAGTTTGACGCGTCAGGGCCCAATGAAGGGGGAGAACTGGGTGGGGATCACTAGTGGGGACACGACATCTTATACGGGGGATGGGGGGGGGGGTAAGGGAAAAGGTAACTAACATAATGGGAAAAGAGAGGGAAAGGGGGGGAACTGGGGGGGAGGGCGGGGAAGAGAAGGGGAGGGAGGGCAAAAGAGGGGAAGCCATATAATAAAGCACCACAAATAAAATAATATACACGCGACAGATTAACTTGTGAACTAAAGTCCCATGGAGCAGCACTCCGCTCCCGCCCATTCTCGGAAGAGGGGCGCATCCCGCACAAAAAGCCGTCCCCTCCATCCGACCTCCCGGCCTACGCACCAGATTTTAGAAGATTTGGGGACCATCTGGCCTTCACTCTTGCATTCTTTGAACGCAGCTGCGCAGCACAGGGCCCAAAGTCTCGAAATGTCAAGCGACTGGCAGCACACGACAACCATCAGCGCTGTTACTGATACGAGTTGACACATTTCTCAAATTGAGAGGTTATTGTGAGGGCTTGGAGAAAAGAGAGGATGGGAGGGCATTCCAAAGCGGAGCAGTGTGGTGAGTGAGTGAATTGGCAAGTGCGTGATTCTTGGAGTGAGGGTGTGTGTGTGTGATATGTAGTGGGGAGCGGTTAGTGCAGCGTTTGGCAGACTGCGCTACCAACCCGGCAACCCGAGTTTGATTCCCGCTCACGGCCAATACCAGTGTCGTAACAGTGATTCGGAAACGAGGTTTGTAGGAGGCAACTAATTTTATTTAGAACATTCACAGTCTTGTCCACACACACTCTATGTTAGCTTAGCCTAGACTATACACAACACTAGATGTCTAACACTGACGGCGCTGACTGAGACAGCCAACTACTTTCTAGCAGCGCAATATCGAACGAAGACGGCGACGAGAAGACAGCGACGATGAGACGAATCCAATCCCAGAACCGGCAGCTCCCGCTCTCGGCTCCTTTTATCCTACCAGCGCGGCCTAACTCCGCCCTGGCCACACCTCCCTTCTCGAACCCACTAGCGCAGGGGTCGGGAACCTTTTTGACTAAGAGAGCCATGAAAGCAAAAAATTTGGAAATTTATTTCAGTGAGAGCCATATAATATATTTTAAAAGTGAATTCAACTAAATGTCAGTATAATAAGCCTCTGAATTTATTCTTTTAAATAATGTTGTTATAACACTCACCATTAATGCGACTTCTGGTGCTGCATGGATTTGCTGATGTCTTTGTAGTCGGGTTGGTACTTGGTGAGGTTAAGCTTCATGCAAGCGTTGAGGCTTTCATCCGTTAAACGTGATCGTAGGTTGGACTTGATGTTTTTAAGATGTGAGAATGACTGCTCACATGCATACGTAGATCCAAACATGGTCAATACAGCAATACTCACACGCTGCAGTGTGTGGTATGTGACAGGAAGCGCGTTCCAAGTTTTGAGAATCAGCTGGTCTTCGGGTTGGAGTTTTTTCATTTCTGTCCACATGTGCTTGCTCGCCAACTCCGCTTTCTGTCTTGTGATTCTTTCCAAATCTTCATTCAGTGACTTGAACTTATTCACCCACATGTCTGAGGCCTTCAGGTCAGCCACTTCTGCTTCAAAATCTCTGACGGAGACACCAGGGATGTAATTCAGGTCGGCTGTGTTCAGTGAACACTCGTTTGGATGGGTGATGAACTTAAAAAGACGAGTGTGCTCACGAAATTCTCCAAAGCGTGCTTTGAAGGACTGTAGGAGACTGGATGTGCAGCCAGCTAGCTGGTGGAGATCAAGGTTTTGAATGGGCTCACTTGCTGTGCATGCATCTTTAAATTGGCTCAGTTTTTTCAAAATGTAGTAAACGACCTGTTTCAAGATCCGTGATGAAAAGCTCCAGCTTGTTTTCAAAAGCAAATACAGCTTGTTGAAGGGATAACACTGTATTTCCAATGCCTTGCATTTTCACGTTGAGCTGGTTCAGATGTTCAGTCAGATCTACGAGATAGTAAAACTTGAGGAGCCACTCGGTGTCGGCTAGCTCAGGATGCCCGACGCCTTTCATTTCAAGGAAAGTCCGGATTTCGTTCAGGCAAGCCGCAAAACGGCTAAGCACCTTCCCTCTTGACAACCAACGCACATTGCTGTGCAAAAGCAGACCAGGATAGTTATTTACAACTTCATCCAGCAGTGTTTTAAACTGGCGATCATTTAAGGCTCGGGCAACAATAAAGTTGATCACACGAATGACCAGCGACATCACTTCGCCAAACTGCCTGTCACACATCTGAGCACAAAGTGCCTCCTGGTGTATAATGCAATGGAAACTTAGGATGGGTCTATTTTCATGTTCACGGAGAAGCGCCACAAATCCTTTGTTTTTCCCCACCATACACGGAGCACCATCAGTACACACTGAGAGAAGTTTATCCATAGGTAGACTTTTTTCTTGAGCAAACTCCATGAAAGACTTGAATAAATCCTCACCTCTTGTGGACCCTTTTAATGGCAGAACAGCAAGACTTTCTTCGCGCAGTGTGTCACCAACAGCATATCTTGCAATCACGCTGAACTGCGACAAATGGCTCACGTCTGTTGACTCATCCAAAGCCAGAGAAAAGAACGGCGCTGCATTTATGTCCTTCACTTGCGTTTCCTCCACTTTGTTTGCCATCACGATGGTACGATCATGAACAGTTCTTGCCGACAGAGGCATGTCTTGTATCCGTTTGATTATCTTGTCTTTGTTCGGAAGATCATCAAAAAGTTCATTGGCTACATCCAGCATGAACGTTTTAGCATACTCGCCATCTGTGAATGGTTTTCCGTTCCTCACTATTGCTAAAGAACCAGCAAAGCTAGCCGAATTATAGTCACCTTGCCGGGTCCATACGCGGAGTTGCTGCTGGCTAGCTTGCACCCTGCTCAGAAGCTCTTGGCACGCTTTCTTTCTGCTGTCTCCCGCAGGGTATTTTGATGCAAAGGTAGCGTGGCGCGTGTCGAAGTGCCGCTTTACATTCGACCGTTTCAACGGTGTAATTTTGTCATTGCAAATTAGACACACCGCAGAACCCGCTCTCTCCACAAAGGCGAATTCTTCGGTCCATTCGTCCTGAAATGTACGATACTCGTCGTCTTTTTTTCTTTTCGCCATCTTCTTCGTCGAAGGGTTAGCTTTGAGCTAATGACCGAGCAGACGCAGTCTCAGACTGATTCAAAAGGGGGCGTTTACCTGTTTTACCCAGCAACGGCAAACGTAGGCCAGTATCATCCAATTAAAATAATGGACAATTGCTCCTGCAGCCCTGAACAGGACATGCGCAGTGAAAAATCGATGGATGGATTAAAACAAGTGAGAATATTTTGTTTTATCTGCGAGCCATATGCAATCATCAAAAGAGCCACATCTGGCTCGCGAGCCATAGGTTCCCGACCCCTGCACTAGCGGGTTCCAGGGGCTTCCAGATGGGGTCCTCCATGACCCTTGCCCAGTTCTCCGCCCTGCCAAAACACCCCAGCGCACGCTCACTGGCGTGTGTAGTCTGTCCAACACAGTTGCCGCCGCTTCCCAGCAACTGGCGCTATTACACTACGTCAGTAACGATTATCTGAACTGGTCTTGGGCCTCCTCGAGGTAGACTCAGCCTCAAATGTGTACCTGGTGCGGTGTGTAAACATCTCCACTTGGGAGACAAAGGTGGCCAGGTGTGGTGCTGGCCACCCACCCCCTCGTGTGCGGTGCCAACGTTAATAGTTGCTCGCTAACAGCACTTGCCCCAACAGTATGATAAGGCTTTGGAGGATCTTTGTCTTTGTTTTGGCACCAACAATTAACATCGGAGGATGATGATTCAGATACTTTCTATGACCTCCTGTCCTATGTGTGAGCTAAAATGGCCCCTCGGGAAAAAAAAAACATCCCATTTGGTGACTTGAATGCCCAATTGAGTTATGACGCAGGCACCTAGGCCAGAGTGATTGAAAGGCATGGACCAGAGCAGCTCAATAACAACGGTAAGGGGCTGTTGGACTTGTGTGAAACTCATGGGTTTATAATCACCAACACGTTGCCGCATCTACACAACATCTGCTGGACTGTATAGTGATAGAGCAGTGAATGGGGGCCCATGTCCTTGACACCTGACCTTCCGTGGTCTCGACTAGCTCATGAAGTTTGCAAACGAGACTTTCATAAACGCTTGCAGCTGAGGTCGGCATCATACCCCCCTCCTCCTGATGCTGAGAGGAAATGGGTCAGGTTCAGGATTGTGTATTCTTTGGGTCTTTCGGTAAAGTCAGGTAGATAGGTTCAAATTAATAAAAATAAAATAAACAAAAAACTCCGACGTTTCGATCACAACACAAGCGATCGTCATCAGAAGGAAAAAAAGATGACGCTCGCTTGTGTTGGGATCGAAACGTAGTAGTTTTTTGTTTATTTTATTTTTATTCATTTGAACCTATCTACGTGACTTTACCGAAAGACACAAAGAATATGAATTCCTGCAGTCACGAAAGCTTTAAGTCAAGATTCAGGATTGTGGTTCATGCAACTGAATGGCTGCATTGGGTATGTGGGCCAGACCTCCCCATAGATTCTGGCTGATGGAGGAGATGTTCCGGCTAACTGAAAGTGGCAGACCCACTTCCACCGTGTACATGATGACGCTGGCTGATTTTACTCGGTCTGTTCGGTAGACTGGGGTTCAATGTGCTGCTGTATGGATTGGGGTCAAAGCGCAATCTGCTGGAGGATTTCAGATGCTCGCTCCTGCCCAACCGCTGCCATGTGGTCATCAACGGATACTTCCCCTCCATCACCATCAAGATGGTCGGTAGTGCAGTGCAATACGAGCTATTACACAGTAGCAGAGCTATCATGTAATACCTCAAGTTGCTGTTGCTGAGACCCACAGACGCACAGAGACCCACAGATTCGCTAAAACAACAACCACTGTTTGCACTGAGTTGCAGTGACGTCCCCCATAGCTCTTGTTCCAACTTAGTTTCATCACAGACTCACACAGAGACCCACATACACACACAGAGACCCTCAGATTCACCCTGAGACCCACAGACTCGCAGAGACCCACAGATTCGCAACAACCACTGTTTACCACTGAGTGGCGGTAATATCCTCATTGCGATTATGCCAGGCTAGATGCACCACAGACTCACGCAGACTTGCACAAAGATGCACAGACTCAAACAGTTCCCCAGACTCATAAAGTGGCCCACGTGGTATGGTGTGGTGTGGTGATTGGTGTTGTGTTACCGGCTCTACAGGTGTTGAATTCAATTATATCAGAATTTCTAGAAGATGGAATCGGCATTCGCAACCCTATGGAGCAGCTGGATTACATCTGCTCCAGGTTCCGGCAGGGTGGGTTCAGCTGTCCGCACGTCTGCTGTCACACAGAATGATGTTATGCCACCTGAATGCTCATAAGTGTGTTGCTCATCTGGCTGAGGAGGCGTCGAAGAAACATGGTTTTCTTCTCTGTGCCAAAACCCCTTCAACTCTGAACAATCATTACTGCTGCTACACACAGCACAGAGTCAGCTGAAGCTGGAGTCCTGCTGTTGTCATATCTGGGGTGGAGAGCACCCAGTTCCTACATCACGCATCTGACAGAGTTCCGTTGTAAAGGGGTCAGGGTGATTGATGACCCAGCGCTCACTTATTGACTCCAGTCACACGCTCACTTGTGATCAGTTGCCTTCTATAGCCATTACCATGCTTTCTGTTCCCGTGAACTTCACTCGTTGATTCCTCCATACATGTTGAGGACTCGGGTCCCCACCAGACTGTTTCATCTCACCCAGGGAGTGCCAACCACCACACTAAAGACATAACTACACGTCCGTGTGGGTAACCGGAAATGAACGAGTGTCAGATATGTATGTATGTATGTTGACCTTGTTTCGCACTTTACGTAGCCAGCCATCCTAATCGGAGGTGCAGGGGAATGACAATAAACTAAACACAAAAAGCAGTTCTAAAGAAATTAGTTTTCAATATATATTTAAAAGTGCATGCTCCAGTGGCTTCCTAATAACGGAAGGGAGTGCGTTCCAGACGGCTGCAAAAGCACATCTTAAAGCCGCGAGCGCAGTGACCGTCTTTGTTTGATGGCTCGCCAAAAGCCACTGCGAGGATGACCAGAATTCGTGTGATGCTTTATGCTCCTTGACGAGATCAGCAACGTATTGTGGATAATTTGTAGCAAGCACTTTGTGTGTCATGAGTGCGACCTTATAAACCCGAGTGTCCGTGTTCATGTCTGTGGCAGATAGCAGCTTGGAGCTCTACCTGGTGATTCACAACATCGACGGGGAGATGCTGCGCGCCGAGCGGAACCAGCGGGTCCTGGGCCAACTGGCCAGTCTACCGAACGTGCACCTCATCGCCAGCGTCGACCACATCAACGGCCCTCTCAGTACGGGGACACACGTACATTCGCTGCAGCGGTTCCCACACTGCGCTACGAACCCGGCGACCCCAGTTTGATTCTTGCCCATAGCAAACACCAGTGACGATTATCTGAACAAGTTCTGGGCCTCCCCGAGGTCCACTCGGCCTCAAATGACTACCTGGTGCAGTGTGTAAACATCGCCACTAGGGAGACAAAGGCGGCCAGGAATGGTGTTGCCCACCCACCCCTTCGTGTGCAGGTCGTGTTGGCCTTCTTCATAGGTCCTTCTCACCCCAACAGTCCGTTAAATGCGATATGGGTGCATCTTTGTGTGGTGTGCGTTTAAGTCTGGGAGCAGAGCAAAGTTGGCTGGTTTAACTGGCTGTGGTGCGAGGTCACGACGTACGAGCCCTACGCAGAGGAGACGTCGTACGAGAACTCCCTGCTCGTCCAACAGTCGGACTCGCTTGCGCTCAGCTCTCTCACCCACGTACTGCGCAGCCTGACGCCCAATGCCAGGTACTAAGCACTCTGATACCAAGGCCAATGCACACGAACACAAGACAAAGACACCCCGTGTAGCCTTGACAGAGTTTTTGACAAGTGACGTTAGCAAGCACCTATGAAGGCTGGCACGGCCCTTGAGGAGGTGCAGGTCAGCACCACGCCCGGCCACCCCTGTCTTCCCCATTGTTTGTGTTTTTTTACATACAGCACCAGGTACTCGTTTGAGACTGAATCTACCAAGGGTAGCCCAGAACCTGTTCAGATATTCGTTACCGATATTTGCTGCAAGCAGGAATCAAACTTGGATATTTGTCAGGTGCATACACACAAGGAGCGTTAAAATCGTTTCTCTTGTTGCATCACCGGTAACGGCATAAATAACCCAGTAACTATTACCAGTTACCAGTTTGCTGCACGTTTAGAAATGTCTAGAGCAACAATTGTAACAGTTTGACCTTGGCTGATTAGAAGGGGAGCTGTCACAGCGGTGTAAATGTTAGCAAATCGCTGGAATTAGAATCCAAAGGTTGCAGGTTCGATTCCGTGTCCCGTTGCGGCAGTTGAAACAATGGTGCAAGGTTCCTAATGCCCCCATAATGCATCATTGCTTCTGTCCATCTAGCAGCAGTATTGTAGCAGTCAAGATTTTGGTTATCGCCTCCCAAAGGTGACATAGGAGAAACTCCGACTTTGCCAAAACCCAGCCTTCCACTAAACCCAGTCCCTGAGTGCAGGCAACCCAAACAACCACCTATGAACACAAGACGGAGTCCAGTCACAACTTGGTTTTCTTGACATTTATTCTCAATCTCACCTCCTGAAATGGTCATGGTACAATGTAAAATAAACCACAGTATTGTATGAGTTATACAAACAAAATCTCACTTGCATGTGTCTCAAACCATGCACCTATCAAGATAACCAATTTCTGGGGCAAGAGTCGAGGCAAAGAAAAAACGAGTAGCTGGTGTTTGAAAAGAACACACAAGCAAATATGAAAGGATTTTCAGCGGTTACAGGGCAATGGAATAATGCAAGTCACATGAACAATAACAACATTAACGGCAGTAGAAAGTACTTGGTCAGGTAATAACAAAATCAAGACAGTCCTAATAGTGATAATAGTGATAGAAATCTAGACTCCAGTGCTCAGTCAAGGAAGGAGTGTGAGCCTAAACTTATGAGTATCAAACACAGGCCGATCAGTGCTGCACAGGTCTCGGACTCCTCCAGTCTAAATAAAGATTCTGATTTTGTTAAAGGTCTCGGGACTCGCTGACCAAGGTGCAGGGCTCACGAGCTCATAGGGATCGAAGGTCTAGGGCACAGACCGAGCGACGATTCACAGCTGTCAGGGTTCGTACGTTTTTAGCACTGAAGCGAGCAGAGTTGCAGAGGTGATGAGGTTGCAAAGCTGAGTTGCACTGCTTAATAGGTGGGAGTGAATCGGTAGTGCTGGATCTCCAGTCACCCTGACCGCTTGACTCGGAACTCTGTCAGGACCAGGGAGGGAGGAACTGGGTGCTCCACCCCAATTATGACAGCAGCAGGATTCCAGCTTAAGCTGACTCTGTGGTGTGTGTAGCAGAACTAATGATTGTTCAGAGTTGAAGAGGCTTTGGCAGAGAGAAGAAAACCACGCTTCTTAGATGCCTCCTTAGCCAGATGAGCAACGCAGCCGTTCCATGACAGCTAAGATAAGATTTCTGTACCAAGCGTATTAACGGTTTGACTATATATGAGAACATCATTGTTCAATATAACGGGAGCAACTGTGGAATGGCCGACATTGTATGTGGGTATTATCATTGACTGGCTGTCTGTTGCATTGAACGTGACCATTTACAATCACTCTCTCGTTACAGGGGAATATTCCAGCTGCTTGTGGAGCATGAGATCGACAATAAAAACAACCCCTCCAATCCAGGTGAGAGGCTCTCTCCACACCTACCCAACTTGCCGTGCGTCGCCTACACTGCCACTCGTGACATCACGGCTGCTGCTTGAGTGTCCAGTTAATATCTCACCGCGGTGACGACATGTTACCTATGCAGGAGGTCGTGGGTTCGATACTGACCCTGACGCCTGCCGTATATTTGAAGTTTGCGTGTTTCTCTCGCCGTGATCGTGTGGAATTTTCTCCGAGTCCAGTATTTTCCTCATTTAATATCAACATACATTTAGAGTATTTGGCTGCTAATCATTTCCACGTGATAAGCAACTTCTTTGAGCTATAATTTATGGCCAGGTTGCTTCTGAAAAAGTGCTATATAGCTCAATTGGCCATATTTGGTCAAATAAAACATAGTTTAGTATTGTCTGAGTTGTACCAGTTCATGAGCTCACATCCTGGTTGTGTTGACTGAATGATCGGCTTTTGGAGTTTAATAAAATGAGTAACCCTTTGTAGGTAGTCAACAGTGATTGTGCTATGGAGAGCCTCGTCCCTGACATGAATTTGGAATTTCCACCGCTTACTGCAAAGGGCTGTATTGTGGATTTTTACGTAATTTTTCCTCGTCCAACAAATGTGTCCCATTTATTGCACGAGTTGCTGCTGATTGAGTGTGTGTGGGGGAGCGATAGTGTAGCGGTTAGCGCGCTGCGCTATGAACCTGGCGACCCGGGTTCGATTCCCGCTCACGGCCAACACCAGTGACGATTATCTGAACCGGTCCCGGGCCCTCCCCTAGGTCGACTCAGCCTCAAAATGAGTACCTGGTGCGGTGTGTAAATATCGCCACTGGGGAGACAAAGGCGGTCGGGCGTGGTGCTGGCCCCCCACCCCCTCGTGTACCGTTCCGGCCTTCATAGGTGCTCGCTAACAGCACTTGCCCCTACAGTCTGTTAAGGCTATATGGGGGATCTTTGATCTTTGTGGTCTCTGGGGGGAGTGTTAGCGCAATGCTTAGAATACCGCGCTGCAAACCCAGCGACCCGAGTTCACTTCCCTCTCACGGCCAACACCAGTGACGATTGTCAGAAACTGTTCCTGGCCCTCCCCTAAATCGACTCGGCCTCAAATGAGTACCTGGTGCAATGCGTAAACATCGCCACTCTGGAGACATTAAGGTGCCTGGGTGTGGTGCTGGTCACCCACCCTCTTGTGTGCCCATAACTGACCTTCATAGAGGTGCTCGCTAAATATCACTTTCCCTGACGGTCTCTTGAGGCTGTACGAGGGATCTCCGTCTTGTGTGGTCTCGTGAAGGCCACGCCACGCCAGGGCTGCCCTGCTCGAGGCTCATGCACGCTGCGTTGCTCAGGTTTGTCGTTCCAGGACTTCTACGAGCGCTGCCGAGTGGCGTTCCTGGTGAACAGCGACCTCACCCTGAGAGCGCAGCTCACCGAGTTCCGCGACCATAAACTCATCCGCACCAAGAAGGTGCCCTGCTGTCCCCCTAGGGATGCGTGTCGCTTTCCGCCGCGTTCACCCCCACGCTGAGATTCAATGCTGTGGTCATTCTCCTAATCCAGGGGTTGGCAACTTGCGGCTCCGGAGCCTCATGGGGCTCATTAGGGACTACTTCATGACGTTATTCACATGCGTTACGGCTCTTGAAATATATTTTTTACCGAATTCGAAAGAAAATGGCTATTTTTGTTATCTTGGTTGCCAACCCCTGACCTAGTCACTTACTGGACCCCCCCTCCCTGCCAATGCCGAGTCCTTGTGTGTGCACTGCTCTCGTAGCTGGCACAGACCAGGTGGGTAAATATGGGGATTGACTTTTATTTCATTTTAAATAGGTGATGACATGACCCAGAGGGAGGTTCGCGGTTCGATTCCGGTAGGCTGCCCTGGTTAACACTGCCATGTGTAGATTTAAACGTTCTCAGTCTTATCCAGACCGCCAGCTTAGACATTTGGCAGCAGCGATCATTGATGACTGTGCTGTACTGATGGGTCCTAATGAAGATGAAACCAGTCTACAGGTGTCTTTGTTTCATTGCTGCCTGTTGGAACTCTTTTAAGTTGGTGGTTCTAAACAACAACATTGCCACCCGTTAAATTCTGTAAATGACTCAATTAGGATTACACACGGCATTTTTTGCCCCCTACTGATTAGTTTGTATGTATGTTGAATGTCTTTCACACTATACTTAGCCAACCGTGCTCATCAGAGGTGCGGGGTAAAGACAACAAGCTAAACACAAAAGCAGTTAAAAAGAAATTAGTTTTCAATTGAAGTGCATAGGTCCAGTGGCTTCCTAATAGCGTTCCAGATGGCTGCAGAAGCACATTTTGTCGACGTATATTCTCCTAAACGACACGAATGGTGACTTTTGTGAAAGACTAAGAGTTTAAAATCTTGATTTAAAGCTTTCGTGATTGCAGGAATTCATACTCTTTGGGTCTTTCGGTCAAGTCACGTTAATAGAAAATAATAGATCACGATGTTTCGATTCGTACACAAGCAATCGTCTACAGGTGAGAGAGAGAGAAAGCTGCTGAGACAAGGTCTTATATAGGCCTGAGATGGGTGCATCAAGGTAGGTGGGTGGAGCTAGAAATGGTCCAACCACAGAGGTTGGGGCAGTGGACACCCAGCCTGTCAATACAAAGACATCCAACCTAGTAATGAAACTCAGAGAGTCAGTTATAATTGGTAGAAAGGATGGAAACATCATAGCAAGTTAAGACTTTACCTGGTTAATCACGTCCTTCCAATGATTGCTCAATTTGTACCCATCTTCTCGATTGAAGTTGTGTCTATGTTTATATATCTGGATGTCTTCATGAACACCTCTTTGATGATAGCCAGTAGGTTTAGGTTTGCAGAGTACCTTCGTCTTGGAAAAATCTTGGAAAATCATCGTGTGAGCCCACAGTGTTAAACCACGACCGAGGTATTGGTCCTGCCGTGTTTCAGATCTGCCTTGTGTTCAGGAACACGGTCCGAAACATGTCGTTTAGTTTCCCCAATGTAACTACTGCCGCAGACACAACTTAGTTTGTAGCCACCGTGGTATTGCACATCAGGGATCACATCCTTCACAGATGGGAGCAGATCACGAATTGTATGTACTGTGTTGAATCGAACTTGGATCTTGTGTTTGTTCATGATTTTGGAAATCTTTTTGGTGACCCCTGCTATGTATGGCAAAGTGATGGTATTGGTTGGATCCTCAGATGGTTGTCTCCCCATGGCTGGGGTGACAGCTTTGCTGATTGTGCGCACCGAGTAGCCATTCATCTTGAGGGCTTGATGTACGTGCTTCAGTTCACTGACTAGGTGGTGCTGGTCGTAGATGCAACGGGCCCTATGGTGTAGGGTTTTGACGAGGGAATTTTTATGGGCTGGATGGTGGTGGGAGTCAGGTTTTAGATAGGCATCCGTGTGGGTGGCTTTCCTGTAGACAGCGTCCCAATGAGCCATCTGGTCTATTTTCGATTTATACATCCAAGAATGGTAACTTGCCATACTAAGAGTTTTGCCGTGTTTGCAGGGCGCTGATGGAGTGGAGTACCTGAGCATTCCCATCGACGCTTCGACGCTAAGCAGCTTCATGGAAAACCAAGACCTGGATTCATGAACAGAGCGATAGGGAAATAGTTGGGCCCATGCTCTGGATTGGACATGGATATAACTCCGGACGGAGCGTTGTACGCCTTGCATTGATCATCACAAGAGGCTTCTGTGGCTACTACATCTATGAGGCTAAATCTAACACTTGAGTCAAATCAGGAGGAGGCTGCTTATGCAATGTCTAACAATCATGAAGTAGACAGTTCTATTTCACACTGCTGTCCCTCAACATGAAAATAAATAAAGAGTGTTTTTTTACACATCCCATCAGCCACACAGTCTTCCTTTCTGTGAGTGTATAATTTCAGCAGCACCTTTATTTCAACACAGAAAAACTCTGGACCAGTTTCAACATTCAGCGTCTTATCATCCGTCAGCCCTACTTGAATTAATGCTGGTGAGTTGCCAGACGTTTATAGGTAAGAGGACCTTCTCTGTGAGATATGAGTTCTTGTTCGACACAAAACTCTAGTTTTGTGTTACACAATGTATTGTGCCTTTTGACAAGGGCATTGGTGCTAAGTAACCGAGACATATAAAATGTCTCCCTCTGCAATTATATAAGCTGCCATGATTCAGGGCATGAGGTGATTCTGAAAATCTGTTCTATCTTTCCCTTATGGTGTATCATCCAGCACTCACCGATTCACTCTAGTCACCAGCGGTCAGTCACCTTATTGCTCGACTAACGCTACTACCATGGTTACCTTTCCCGTGAATTCTAGATTTGAAGCTTTCGTGACTGCAAAGATTCATACTCTTTGGTTTTATTCGGTAAAGTCACGTAGATAAAATAAAAGAAAATTATTAAATCACGACGTTTCGGAGGCAACACAAGCTTCCGTCTTAAGGTGGAAAAGTCAACGCAGAATATCTGTGTCATGAGCACAGTTCAGAGACAACCGGGATTATATACAGGTTAAGGGAGGGGGGAGGAGTCAGTAAGGGAGCGTGGGTGGGTGGGAGGGCTGGATTAAGCAGCCTTTTGATAGGCTGCTGCAGGTAACAACCACTTCGCACTGCACATTTTTTACCCACTCCCGTGCAGTGACTTTACCGAATAAAACCAAAGAGTATCTTTCCCGTGAACTTCAGATGATTCCTCCACCCATGTAGAGGACTCGGTATCTACTAGGGGCGACTGGTTCATCCAATCCACATTGTTCAACCATGGCCACACTCGAGGTCACAACATCTCACCCACTCGATTGCCACACTGCAGGTCACAACAACACTCTCACTCATCCACTCACCCACCACACTATAGGTCACAATCAGAATGTATTTTTTTACTGGAGGAGGAATCCGATGAGCTATGTAGAGTATGGGCGGGTCAGCAAGTTACAACAGCAAACAACACAAACAACGATAGTAGTGCAAAATGGAGAAAACGGTAAGCAAGGTTATAAATATAAAATAACTAATACATTAATTACATACGTCCAATTCATCAAGCTTTGGCAAGGGAGTTAAAACAACAGTCCCAGACCACAGCAAGACAACAACCACACAGTAGTAGTACCTCAATACAATGGCACATTAACATTGAACTATCGATATACAGGTAATGATCAAAGTTATAAATGACATTTGCAAATGTAACTGCTGTATCCAGCACTTATCTTCTGCTTCATAACAACTCGCTCACCCACTCGCTCGCCACACCACTGATCACATCGCTTCCCTTTCTGCGTATTCCCTCGCACTGCTCCACTCTGGAGTATAAGAGTTTGTGCAAAATACAGGGTGCTTAAAAACATTTTTTTATCACTTATATGGAACTATCGTTTTTCATGAAAAAAGAACGCATAATTCACTGTTACATGATATCAAATATATGTTTATAGCTTCAAAGAGTCTCCACTTGTTCGCCATCATTGTCAACACATGCCTGGAATCTTATCCAGGTGGTCTCCAAAGCCCGGAGGCCCATATTTTGTGGTATTGTTGCAATTTCTCTGAAGTGTTAACATTTTTTTGAAGCACACTGTTTACACACGCGTCTTTAGGGTTTGCATGAAACATTCACAATATAATAATCGTAAATTTAAAGTGTTTATCATGAGTCCAGGAATCAGTTTAATGTCAATACACGTGTCTGTGTGAGCTGCTGGGTCCGTAACGTTACCTTCAGTGATATCACTGATATGACCTCTCATAAAACTCACATTTATCAATAACATGCTGGTCTTGTAATAAAAAAAACATACATATATTCTTCAACTTTTCAGGCAATAGCCCTTCTTCATAGCACATAATAGCCCATTGTCCAGCCTATTATATCTGTTTCCTTATAAAGCCACTCATTGATTAAGGTGTTGAGTTTTATTTGTGCTTGGTTGCCATTGTCAGTGCAGTGTTATCACTTGTTTGTTCTCAAAGTGGGCTTTTACGTTGTTTGTAAATGGTATTTGGTAAATAGTCACGTGGCTATTTTGCCTGAAAATAAATGCATATGCCAATCATTCTTTGGTTGTTTGACCACTGTTCATGCTGGGAGGGTGCAATTTTGTTTACACAATTTCTGATCACAGGCTGAAAACGTCAAGCGGCCAGCAACAAACAGCGCGTTCAAAGCTGTAATAATAGATAATGGTTGAATTGAGAGGTTAATGTTAAAAGGCTCCCATAGACTTCAATGGTAAATCGTCCCATAGACTTCAATAAGCACAAACACCAGCCAGGTGGGGAGGACCTCTTGCCCCAACAGTCTGTGTGTGGGTATGGGAAGCAGTGGTGCAGTGGTTTAGCGCATTGTGCTACGAACGCGGCGAGGTGAGTGAGATTCCCGCTCACGGCTCACATCATCAGTGACGAGTAATATCTGGACTAGCCCTGGGTCTCCCCTAGGTCGACTCAGCCTTAAATGAGTATCTGGTATGTAATCGTCAGCACTGGGGAGACAAAGACGGCTGAGCGTAATGGTGCCCACCACCTCGTGTGCCGTTCCGGCCTTCATAGGTGCTCGTGAACAGTACTTTCCCCAATAGTCTGTTCAAGGCTATATGGGGGATCTTTGTCTTTTTGTTCGTATTTGTGTGTAGTTGAACACTTGGCAGTGTGTATGTTCTGAGGTACGTGGTTAGCTCACTGCACTACAAACCTGGAAACCTGAATTCCGGTCACGGCTAACATCAGTGGCGAGTGATATCAGAACCAGTCGTGGGCCTTCTCGAGGTCAGCTCAGTCTTCAATGAGTACATGCTACTAATCAGAGGTGCGGGGGGAAGGACAACAAACTAAACAAAAAGCAGTTCTCAAGAAATATATTTTAAATCTAGACTGTGAACCGAACTCTGCTGGCTCGCATCAGTGGTGAGTGGTATCTGAACCGCTGCTGCCCTCCCCCCACCGACAACCTTATCAGTAACCTGCATTGTCCAGCGTGGTGAAGTATGGTTAAACGATAACCTCCATGACAGACAGGAGGCTTTCATCCAGCAATGGATTGACATGTCGGGTCTTTGAGACAGTGGAAGTCGCCTTACAAATAAATGTAAATTATTACTTGTAATAAATTACATTAATTTTATTTAAATTTCAGGATAGTACTATTTTTTTCAGATTTTGAAAAAAAAAACCTCAAGTATAATGTAAGCGTATTAAGATTATATATTTAAATACTACACGGTGAAATTTTGATTTCAAGCTTTCGTGACTGCAGGGATTCATATTGCCGGTTCTTTCGGAAAAGTCACGCAGAAGGCAAACAATAAAATAATAAAAATACGAAACAATAAAATTCTCACGACGTTTCGACTGCAACACAAGCAATCATCATCAGGTGTGAAAACCGCAGCAAGAAAATTTGAAAAAAGTGGCGGTTATATTTAACGTTAGCACCACGGAGTGCGATTTGACAGTTTGTTCAGATGGACGAGTCCATCTATGTTCGGAAAAGAGGAGGTGGGAGACGAAAAAATAATGGATGCGGTCTGAAAGCCACCGTAAACGTGAACAATCAATTAAGACCCGAAATGGTTTATCAAATCCTTCCAATGATTGCTAAGCCAGAATCCATCTTTTCGGTTGAAATTGTCTCTGTGTTTGTATATGTGTGACTTTACCGAAAGAACCGGGAATACTACACTTCACTTAAATGTGCCGTGGTGACGTCACCACGGCGCTTGTGCCAGGCAATGTGCACGTTGAGGCCACGTAAAGTGTCGAACGCCCTGTGGCAGGAGGTCACGGGACAGACCCAGGTGCCAAGGGTTGACTGACAGGAATGGCCAATGCACCACCTGTGCCCCTACTGTGCCAACTTGACGTGTTTTAGCCACGTTGTTATGAGCGTTGCTCCTCTGTTCTCCGTTATTGCTGGAGGGCGACTACCTCCAACTGCCCAGTAGCGTCCTTCACGAGCCTCCCCCATAGAGGCCGATCTTGACTCTGCTGGGACCAGTCATCGGCAAGTCCACTCAGCTCCAATCCTCTTGTACCACATCACTATATCTCTTCTCTAACCCGTGTCGCGCCCATTTAGCCCCCTCTATCTGGCCGACCAAAAGGTGTTTAGGCATGCGGTGGCTGGGCATGCTGGCTACATGACCCTGCCAATGCAGCCTTGCCTGCCGGAGGAGCTCACCGATGGGACTTTGTCCAGATCTTTCAAGGTTTTTGTGAACACCTCACACAATCCAGCCTGGTTAAACTTAGGATGGATTGTGGACAGGCCAGGCTGCATGTTTCTAACCAGCGAAGATGTTCCATTAGGGGGGTTCACTTTTCGCAAGCATAACCGTGGCCAAGAAGACCCGAAGCTTCGTGTAGAGTGACAGACCAGGTAGCTTCCACACAGCATTATGTAGCCAATGGAAATATAATGCTGCTTGACTGGTTCGGAGTGAGATCTCTGCTGTCAAGCTGGAGTTGGTCATGAGCACGCTGCCCAGGTATGGGAAACTCTCCACTCTCTCCACAACTGCCCCATCACCAACTGGGAGTTGTCGGGGTGGAGTGTTTGATGGCACAAAATACCCAGGCAGGTGCTTAGTGTTGGTGGGACTGATGGTAAGGCCCCACCTCTTAGTGGCATGCTCCAGGTTCAGCGGCAGCACCTCCAACTCCTCAGAGTGAGCAGCAATCACCAGATCATCAGCATGCATACCATGGTTGACCAATAGGAAGCCATCCCTTGCATAGACCCGAGCATCAATCAGCCTCCCATTGTATATGTACCGGATGGAAAGTCCTCTGGTACAGCCATCGAAGGTTTCACGAACTACGTGATCAAAAATAATTTAAAATGTGGGAGCCAAATGACATCCTTGTCACACCCCAAGGTGAACAGGGAATGGCTCCGACTCCCGGGCACGTAGTTTTACCTGGGCCTGATTACCATTATGAAGGTACTTAATGATTGTGAGCAGAGAGTCAGGGTCTTCGAAAGCACAAAGAACAACCCATAGCCCAGCTTACTGATGGTATCATAGGCCTTGACCAGGTCAATAAAGCAGAGATGTAGGGACTGTTGGAATTCGCTACACCTCAGCTGTAGCAAACGGACAAATAAAATGGCATCTGTGCAGGACCGCTCTGGCCTGAAACCAAAATGGGGCTACGCAAGCGGCGCCTCAGCGTGCCTGAGGAAGGAGATGCCACTGTAGTTGTTAAAGTCTGTGCGGTCCCCCTTCTTAAAGATGGGGACCACAAGGGCATATTCCAGTCCTAAGGAATCCATCCAGTGGTCCAGACTATTACTATGATGTCATATAGGGCATTCTACGCACTAACGCCACCTTCCCTCAGCATTTCGCTTCAGAGATCATCTCTGCCCAGCACTTTTCCTAATCTCAGACTTTG